AGGTTGGACATGAGCTGTGAGGGGGAAAGCAGAGGCACATGCGCAGCTGGCGGGACGCGGCGGTCCCTCGTGGGTCCGCGCACCTCCTGTGCGCACAGGTCTGTGCTCTGGGGCTAGACTGGTGAACCACACAAATAAGGATCCCTTCCCCAGGGGAGCTGATGTTCTGTGACTCGACCTCTTGCCTGAAGCCCGACCCGGTAAAGAGAGAGGAGAGGGTTAGACCGATGAGGAGAGTTCTCTGAAAAGCAGGACTTTTCCCTTTGCCAAAGACGGGGACACCAAGGCTCCGTGGAGCTCCCTGTGGCTGCCTCACAGGCCGCCCTTCTTCCTTTGCGTTCCTGTGGTCCGGGGTCCAGCCCTTACCCTCAGTGGGGGGAGGGGGGAGCTCTCCGAGGAGGTCTGAGGGCCTGAGGGCCGTTTCGGGAAACCCGGGCTGGGGGGAGGTCGGCCAGGAGCCGACCGCCTTCCCCAACCCCCGCCATCTCTCCCGGCAGCGGCTGATCGACAAGACCAAGGTGACCTATCTGAAGTGGCTGCCTGAATCCGAGAGCCTGTTCCTGGCCTCGCACGCCAGCGGCCACCTGTATCTGTACAACGTCAGCCACCCGTGCGCCTCGGCCCCGCCCCAGTACAGCCTGCTGAAGCAGGGCGAGGGCTTCGCCGTCTACGCGGCCAAGAGCAAGGCGCCCCGCAACCCGCTGGCCAAGTGGGCGGTGGGCGAGGGGCCCCTCAACGAGTTTGCCTTCTCGCCCGACGGCCGGCACCTGGCCTGCGTCAGCCAGGACGGCTGCCTGCGCGTCTTCCACTTCGACTCCATGCTCCTGCGGGGGCTCATGAAGAGCTACTTTGGGGGCCTGCTGTGTGTGTGCTGGAGCCCTGACGGGCGCTATGTCGTGACGGGGGGCGAAGATGACCTGGTCACCGTGTGGTCCTTCACCGAGGGCCGTGTGGTGGCCCGAGGCCACGGCCACAAGTCCTGGGTCAACGCTGTAGCCTTTGACCCCTACACCACGAGGGCCGAGGAGGCGGCAGCGGCCAGTGGTGACACGGAGCGGAGCGGCGAGGAGGAGGAGGAGGAGGAGGAGGAAGAGGAGGAAGAGCCCGACGCGGGGGGCACAGGCTCGGGCGGGGGAGCCCCCCTCTCCCCGCTGCCCAAAGCCGGCCCCATCACCTACCGCTTCGGCTCGGCGGGCCAGGACACGCAGTTCTGCCTGTGGGACCTCACGGAAGACGTGCTTTACCCCCACCCGCCCCTGGCCCGCACCCGCACCCTCCCCGGCACGCCTGGCACCACGCCGCCCACCGCCAGCAGCTCTCGCGGGGGCGAACCCGGCCCCGGCCCCCTGCCCCGCTCACTGTCCCGCTCCAACAGCCTTCCGCACCCGGCCGGCAGTGGCAAGGCGGGCGGCGCGGGCGCCACGACTGAGCCGGGCACGCCGTTCAGCATCGGCCGCTTTGCCACGCTCACGCTGCAGGAGCGGCGGGACCGGGGGTCAGAGAAGGAGCACAAGCGCTACCACAGCCTCGGCAACATCAGCCGGGGCGGTGGCGGCGGCGGGGGCGGCGGGGGCGGGGGCGGCGGCGGGGACAAGCCCAGCGGCCCCGCCCCCCGCAGCCGGCTGGACCCAGCCAAGGTGCTGGGCACCGCGCTGTGCCCGCGCATCCACGAGGTGCCCCTGCTCGAGCCCCTGGTGTGCAAGAAGATCGCCCAGGAGCGGCTCACGGTCCTCCTCTTCCTGGAGGACTGTATCATCACTGCCTGCCAGGAGGGCCTCATCTGTACCTGGGCCCGGCCGGGCAAGGCGGTGAGTGGCCCCATGCCGGCCGACCCAGGGCCCAGGAGGAGGCGGGCATGGGCAGGAGGGTTTGTTGCAGTCATAGCCTTTAGCCCTGTGGGATGAGGGGAAGCCAGGGAAATCTTAGCATCCCAGAGCAAGACCTCTCAGATCTTAAGAGTACCAGGCTTCTAGAACTCTCCGTGGCAGCAGAGAGAGGGTTGGGTAGAAGAGACAGCCAGGAGTGGTGAGGACCATGGCCAGCTATCTGAAGGGCGGCCAGTGGGCCCAGCACAGCCGGGCCTTACCACTTGTCACTCGAAGCCAAGTCTGTGTTTCTATGGGACATACGATTTGTGAATTGTGAACCATTTGAACAATGTGGGTCAAATTCTGCGGGCAACACTGAGCCTGTGGGCCCGCCTTCCGGCCTGAATCTCAGACTCTGGAGCCCCAGCTCATGGAATCCCAGCTTGGGTTCTGGGGCTGCTCCCTGTGCGACCTTGGGCAAGTCACCACTCCTTGCTGACCTCTGTCACCTCTTAGGGAGCCTTGAAGGTGGGTGGTAGATGGATGTGTCCACCTCCTGGGGCAGCACTGGGGTTTCAGGAAGACCCCAGAAGGGGGGGAGCACAGGCCTGGCGCCTTCCATCTTTGGAGCTCTTGTCTCAGAGGGCTCAGCTTCACAGGGTTTGGGCTTGTGTGCCCAGGGTGCTAGGCCTGAGGCCTGTGGCTTGGTTCCCTCAAAGAGTGGTTTTAGAATTGTAGGGTCTTGAATCCTTAGAACTCCATGACACAGTCTCAGACACAGGGTCGTTGGGATTTGGGGAGTCTGGCGAGTCCTGAAAGAGACCCCTCTATCTCCCTAGTTCACAGACGAGGAGGCCGAGGCCCAGACAGGGGAAGGAAGTTGGCCCAGGTCACCCAGCAAGTCAGTGGTAGAGGTAGGCTTGTCCCTGAGCTCTCCCCCCCCACCTGCCCAGTCAGGGCCCTGAGTTACCCCCCATCCTCTCCACCCCTACCCCCATCCTCTGCTCAGGACCACCCAAGCGCTTTAATTATTGTCCAAGAGTGCCGCCTGCGGGGCCAGGGAAGCTAGCGGAGCTGGGAGTTCCCGACCTAGAGCAGCGGCCTCTGTCTGGGGGGCTCTGGGGTGGACTGAATGGCAAGGCCAGGGTGGCAGCCGCCTTGGGGACTCCGGGCTGGCTCCCTCCCCACGGGACTGGTGGGAGCCCCAGGTGGTCTCTAACCCTCCTGTCTCCCCTCTCATCTTCCCCAGGGCATCTCCTCCCAGCCAGGCAACTCCCCGAGCGGCACAGTGGTGTGAAGCCATGGATGTCGGGGTTCCCCCCACAGTGTTCCCCGCCTCCTAGCCATAACCCTCCCGCTGACCTCACGGATCAACGTATTAACAAGACTAACCATGATGGATGGACTGCTCCAGTCCCTTGCCCTGCACAAATTTGGGGGTCAGGGTCCCCCAGACCGGCCCAGACACTTGGGGGGATGTAGTGGCCCGTGTGGCCTCAGCCTTGTCCCCACCCACTGCCAAGTACAATGACCCCTTCCTCTGAAACATCAGTGTTCACCTCATCCCTGTCCCCAGCATGTGACTGGTCACTCCTGGGGGAGAGACTCCCCGCCCACAAGCTCTGCAGTGTGCCCCTCCTCCTGTGGGCAGGGCTGGGGTGGCCCACCCCTCCCCTGGCCCCCACCCTGCCCTTGCTGTTGTTTGTGCTTTTGAAGAGTGTTAAATTATGGAAGCCCCTCGGGGCCCTCCCTGTCCCCCAGGACCTCTTATTTATACTAAAGTTCCCTGTTTTCACAGCGTCTCTGGTCCCGTCTGGGAGGTGTGGAGGGAGGGAGTGTGCGTGCACTTTAGCAGCAGCCCTAGAACCCAGCTACTAACACCAAAGGAAGAGAGGCCCTGCCTGTCCCCCGACCTGGTGCCCTCCCTGCTCCGTTCTCATAGCCGGACGAGCTGAAGGCCAGAGGAGGGATTGACTCCGGGCACATAGCTGGTGGGTCACCCACGTGCCAGGCCTCCAGCCCTGAGCCCCCAGAACCCCCAACTCTGGAGGAGAGAGTGCCGCCGGGGCCTCCTTCCCAGTTTGAAAGTGCCCGAACTGTCCAGGTCAGATACGGGGCGGGGGGGGGGGGGGGGCCCCGGGGGGGCCCCCCGGCGGGCCCCGGGGGGGCCCGACGGGGGCGGGGGGGGGGGGGGGGGGGGGGGGGGGGGCTGCCCAGGTGGGTCCCTCAGGTAGCTCCTGAGGTGCCCAGAACGTGCCCCAAGGCTTGGCCTCCCGCTGCCTCAGGCCTCCAGGCTCAGGGCACAGGCGTCCAGAGCCAGCTGGAGATCATGGTGTCCTCCCAGAGCGCTGCCCACCCCTGCCGAGAATAACGAAAATCCCTCCTGGCCGGCTCTCTGGAGCTGCAGGGAGGGGTGTCTTCCCGCTCTGCCCTCCACCCCCCGAAATGTTTCTGTTTCTAATCCTAGCCCGGGCAGGAATGTGGCTGTGCGGCCAGGGTCCAAGGAGCTATTTTGGGGGCTCCTTTGCCTCCCGCAGGCTTTGGCCAGTGGGTCACCCCTGGTCCTGGCTCCTGAGGGCCTCCCTTCCCCATTCTCTCACCACCCCTTCCCCACCTCCTGCCAAAAAAAAGTCCGTGTAAAGCAGAGGGCCTGAGGGCTAAATTTAAACCATCCCAAAGTCTGACTCTGTGGCTGAGTCACCCGCGAAGCTTCCCTGGCCTCCTGCCCCCCCTTCCCAGGCCTCACCCCTTTCTCCCCCACCCCAATTCCAGGGCTCGAGAAGGGTGTTGCCCGATCGTTCTGAACCTTCATTGGCCCCCTCAGAATGGGAGGGCTCATCTTTGGCATCTGCCACACCTGTAGCTACTTCTGTGCTCCGCCTGTTTTGGGGGGGCAGGCATCGTGGGAGAGTTGAGGTTCTCCAACCCCCATCTCACACTGACGTGTTCTGAGGGGCCCCGGCAGGAGGGAGTTGGGGGGCCTGGCTCCTGAGGGGTTAAGGCTGGGAGGCGGGAGGGGGCCGCCCCGAGGGGTGGGGAGAAGGGGAGGAGGCCTCAGCAGCAGAGAGAAGTGGCCAGAGAGGCCCAGGGGACAGCCAGGGACAGGCAGACATGCAGCCAGAGCCCCAAGGCCTGGACAGGGGCTGCCAGGCCCCGTGACCGGAGGACCCCGAGCCCCTGGCCCGGGGAGGGGGCCATGGTGCTGCCTGCCCGACATGTCAGCCGAGGTGCGGCTGAGGCGGCTCCAGCAGCTGGCGCTGGACCCTGGCTTCCTGGGGCTGGAGCCCCTGCTCGACCTTCTCCTGGGCGTCCACCAGGAGCTGGGTGCCTCCGACCTGGCCCAGGACAAGTATGTGGCCGACTTCTTGCAGTGGGGTGAGTGCCTGCCGTCGTGGGTGGCACAGATTGGGGGGCGGTAGGGGCAGGGCAGAGGCAGGATATGGGGCCGGGCACCAGGGCTGATAGTGGGGTCAAGGTGGACGTGGGAGAGCCTCGGACTCAGGAGCCCAGAACTTGGTCCTGGGTCCTAGGGTGGCATGTCCCTACCCCTGTGCCACCCTGGCAGGGCAGGCTGGGGTCAGCAGAGGCTAGGGCAGCCATGACTCCGAACTGTGACCTGGGAGCCATGGTAGGCTGGACTGGGCACGGCCTCCCGTGGTCCTTCTGTACCCCCTCCCCAAGGTCTAGGCCTAGGGACATGCTGGGAGCCCCGGATCCTAGGACCCCCCCCTCCACCACCACCAAGATGTGCCCCGTGGCTCTCCACCCTGGCCTCCCAGAGCACGGGGGCAGGTGGAAGGGACAGCATGGGGCAGCTGCCAGGGGTGCGGCCAGTGGGCAGGTGTTCAGCGCCAGCGTCTCCCGCTGCCCCAACAGGTGCCCAGGCACTGGGAGGGTGCGGCCACTCAGGCCCTGGGGGAGAACCGGCTCCGCAGACAGGCGCCACCCAGCACCCCCACCCCCTGGATGGAGGAGGGACCATTTCAGGTTCTGGGTGTGCCCACTTTCTAGGGCCTGGCCACCCCCCTCTCCACCAGCCCTGGTCTGTCTAGTTTGCATGGGGCAGCTCCCCAGGTCCCTGGTTCTCATGACTTCCGACCTTCGGGCTCTCCCACAAAGTCCCTTCTGGCCAGGTCTTTCCCTGGAGACAGGTCTGAAGGGAAGATGCTTCCACCTCTGGCCTTGTCCGCCTCTTCCCCTCCTCCACCCCAGGACTCAGGCTCACTTGGTTTTCCGTCTCTCTGACACCCTGCCACTCTGTCCTTGCACTGGTTTGTCCCTCAGGGGCTTGCACTCGGTCCTTGGGCTCTGTATGTCTCTGTCTCTCTGCTTCCCGCTCTCCCTCGTTTCTTGTGTTCATCGCTTTTTGACCCAGGCCTCGCTCCTGTCCCTCCCATTTCGCAGATAGGAAGGTGGACACCAAAGGCCGGGCCACTCAGCCCCTGGAAGAACTTTCTCCCCGCCTCCCCCAGCCCTTAGTAACTCTCTCAGCCCGACTTTGCAGAGCGTGAAGTTGAGCTAGCAGGGTAAACTGAGCCCGGAGCTGGGGGCAGGGGTCTGGGCTCTCCAGTAAGGAGCACTCCTTTTGTGGCCTGAGCAGCATCCTGCGGCCCCTCCCCTGCTAGGCTGCCCGGGGCGGGGGAGGGGGCCTGGGTTCCTGCTGCCTTAAAAGGGCTCAACATCTTGGCTCTCTCCTCCCTCCCCCGTCCCGGGCCCTGGCTGGTTCTTCCCTGCCGGCCCGCTCTCCCGAACCTCGAAACTCATGGGGGCCTGTCTCTCCCTGCCATAGCCCACTCCATCTCCCCTTACTTTCACTTGAACCCGTCCCTCTCTCTGTCCTGCCTCCCAAGTCCCCAGGGTCCTCCCTCTTCCTGTGCCCCTGCATCCCCTCCACCTGGGCCTTCCCCTGCCTACCTGCCCTCCTTAACATTCCTAGCTGTAGGACTTCGGGCCAACCTCTTCACCCTTCTGAGCCACGTAAAGGCCTCCCCTAAATGAGGGGCCTCCAGTAAATGGGGGGCCTCCCGTAAATGAGGGGTGACTAAAGAAGCCCTCTTCCTGGAGTTGAGGACAGAACGAATACACTATAGAGCTTGGAATTTGGGCCCATGCGGGCTTTGTCTTCCTCTCCTGTTCCCTCTCGGGGCCCCATCCCCAAATCCAGTGTTTCCCAAAGTGTCCAAAACCAGCAGCCTCTAAACCTGGAGGTGCTGGACTAAACTGAATGTTCCAGGACAGGACCTGAGACAGACTGAGAACCCGGGTGTGGGCCTGGCAGGCACTCCCACTCCCAGCCAGAGTAGGGGTGGGGACTGAAGCTCAGGGGGCCCCTAAGGACTGGGAACTCACATCTTCTGTTCTTCAGAAGAGAGCCCGCCCTCTCCACCTGCACCCACTAGAGCCCCTCTGGCCCAATGCTCTTCCCAAAAAGGGGTTCCTCAGGCATCCCACCTTTTTTTCTGTAGGAGGGCAGTTTGGGGTCCCCAAAACTTCACACAGTGTTTTTGCCGGGAAGCCTTTGGGAGGCTGACAGTCCTAGGAGAGAGACAGAGAGAGGAGAGAACAAGGGACAGAGGAGACCGAGGAGGGACAGAGAGGGGGAGACTGAGGGGCAGAGGGTGGGACTTCCTCCCGTCTCCAGTGTCAATCCCAGTTACCCTCGGTTCTCACCTCCCCCCGGCCCCCAGTGGAACCCATCGCGGCGAGGCTTAAGGAAGCCCGACTGCAGAGGGATGACTTCGAGATTCTGAAGGTGATCGGACGCGGGGCGTTCAGTGAGGTGAGGCTTGAGCGGCGGCTACAAGCTCCGCGGAGCAGGGGACGCGACTTTTCGTGCAGTGGGCGGGACCCAGGGGTTTGGGGCGGGACCTTAGAAATTGATGAATGACTTGAGTTGAGCAAGCCTACACCAGCCGGGCGGGGGCGGGGCCTGAGGCCGCTGGGCGTGGCGTTAATCGTGGGGCGGAGCCACGAGTAGGTTGTGTTACGGGTGGACTCCAGTCTCGGCGAGCCCGCGTGTTTCCCCCGCCACCTCTGCCCCCAGTCACCCTGTTTCGGCCTTCAGGTGGCGGTGGTGAAGATGAAGCAGACGGGCCAGGTGTATGCCATGAAGATCATGAATAAATGGGACATGCTGAAGAGAGGCGAGGTGAGGGCGGGGCCGGATGTGCAGGGCGCTAGGATCACCCACCCCCGCTCTGGCTCCCGGCCGCTTCAGTGCCTCCGGGTGCCCCGCAGGTGTCGTGCTTCCGCGAAGAGAGGGATGTGTTGGTGAACGGGGACCGGCGCTGGATCACGGAGCTGCACTTCGCCTTCCAGGATGAGAACTACTTGGTGAGCCCCGGACCCGGGGGTACTAGGGAGACGGACCCCGATCCCGAGGCTGTCAGTGAACGAGGCGGGGTCAGGGAGAAATTCTAGGCTGTCTCGAAATGGCAGCGGTGTCTCTGGGTGTGGGAGGAATTGGTCTTCCTTTCCCGGGATGGGAGATGTCCCTTACCGCTCTTTTCCCCGGGCTGATTCCAGAGGACCCTGTAAAGATGCCACCGTCGGAAGCGGGGGGGCGGGGGGCGGATCTCTTACCTGGACTGGAATAGCTCTCTACAATCTATGTGGGGGTCCCTGGGCAGGGTATTTAGGCTCTGTACTTTAGGCACTGGGAGCTCTCTGGGCTCTCTTTCCCGCTCTGTCTGTCCAGTGACATCCTGGGAGAATTAGGTTTTGGCGGGGGGGGGGGGTGTCTCTGATTTGGCCTGGGAATCTCTTGGGCTCCCTTGGGGCTGGGGCTACGGAGTCTCTGCCCAGGGTTGGGGCATCTGCGGGAGTCTTTGTCCCGGGCTATCATCGGTCAGCGCCGAGGGGTGCGACTGACCTCCCCCATGACACGCCCCCTGCCAGTACCTGGTCATGGAGTACTACGTGGGCGGGGACCTGCTAACGCTGCTGAGCAAGTTTGGGGAGCGGATCCCGGCCGAAATGGCGCGCTTCTATCTGGCCGAGATTGTCATGGCCATAGACTCAGTGCACCGGCTGGGCTATGTACACAGGTGGGCGCCGCAGGGGCTGAGGGGCTGGGGCTGAGGGCGGGGCCCAGAGAGGGAAAGCGAAAGTTGCACCCGGGCAGGGGGCAGGGTACCGCCAAGGTTGGAGCCCAGAGGGGGTGGGGCCTGGAGAGGGACCTCATTGGTTGGGACCACTGGGGACAGAGACAGAGGAGTGGGGGTCAGAATTGCAGAATTCCCTAAGGGGGGGGACCGCAATCGGAGAGCACGGTCCCTAAGAGGGTGGGGACCCGAGGCCGTGCTGCCTGGAGGGGTGGAGCCTGGTGAGCTGGATGGAGGGAGGCTCACTTATCCCCCACCCTCTCCTTCCGTTTGCGCAGGGACATCAAACCCGACAACATCCTACTGGACCGCTGCGGCCACATCCGTTTGGCCGACTTTGGCTCCTGCCTCAAGTTGCGGGCAGACGGAACGGTGAGCCATGCGGTGCGCTGCTTTGAGCAGCTCGGGCCACCAAAGAGGAGTGGGGTCAGGTGGGGGGACCGGAAGTGCAGAGTGTGGGGGCGGGGCTGAGGCACACAGGTAGAGTTAGGGTGGGGGCACGACCAGATTTGGAGTGGGAAAGAGAAGGAGGGCACCCACGCCTAAGTGTGTGAGCGGCTCCGGGTCAGAGCAGGCAAGGGGAGGGACTAAGCACTCGGGGCGTGGTTGGGAGGGGCGGGGCCAGAGCTCGGAGGGGCGGGGCCGAGCCCAGCTCTGCACCTTTTGGCTCAGGTGCGGTCGCTGGTGGCTGTGGGCACCCCGGACTACTTGTCCCCGGAGATCCTGCAGGCCGTGGGCGGCGGCCCCGGGATGGGCAGCTATGGGCCCGAGTGTGACTGGTGGGCGCTGGGAGTGTTCGCCTATGAAATGTTCTACGGGCAGACGCCCTTCTACGCCGACTCCACGGCTGAGACCTACGGCAAGATTGTGCACTACAAGGTGAGCACGGCCAGAGGAACCCCTGATCTCCGTCCACGCATATTGACAGGCCAACGTCCCCCGCTTTCCCTCTCCCTCTGGCAGGAGCACCTGTCTCTACCCCTGACCGATGCGGGGGTCCCTGAGGAGGCTCGAGACCTCATCCAGCAGCTGCTGTGTCCCCCTGAGATGCGGCTGGGCCGGGACGGAGCAGGTGATTTCCAGAATCATCCTTTTTTCTTTGGCCTTGACTGGGATGGTCTTCGAGACAGCGTGCCCCCTTTTACGCCGGATTTTGAGGGTGCCACTGACACGTGCAACTTCGATGTGGTGGAAGACGGGCTCACTGCCATGGTGAGCGGGGGCGGGGTAGGTACCTGCGACCCCTGCTGGGCAGAGGGTATTCCTCCCCCCCTCATCCCTTACCCAGAAAGTTGGGCTTAGAATAGTACCCATCTCCTGAGGTCTTGAAATCATCCCTCCCCCAGAGGACCTGCTCTGTGCCCGCCCAGTGCTGGGAACCCAGCGGTGACCTGGATTCCCAGTCCAGTGGGGAACATAGACTGGTCCCCAGACAATGATGGTCCAGAGAGTTGGGGGGGGGTGAACAGGGGAGGGCAGGGAGAGGGGCTCCTGACCCAGCATGGAAAGTCTTGGAGGGCTTCCTGGAGGAGGCACTATTTGAGCTGAGACCTGGAGGGATGAGAAGTGAGAGGCAGGAAAGCACCACGGCGCGGAGGAATCTCTCTCAGGCCATCTCTTTCTCAACTGTGACACAAACTATCCCGAGTGAGCGCGTGTTCAGTCTGGGTGCCCTTGTGCCGGGTGCTGCTGGGGACACACAGGGACCAAGCCAGCCCCAGCCCCTGCCCTCGTCCACTTACAGCCTGGAGAAGTATCTAAGTACAGCGTGGAGAGTACCCCGAGGGGAGCCGCCAGGACACAATGAAAGAAAATGAGGGAGGGGCCACTTAGGATAGTGGGAGCAGGTATTAAGGCCAGACTGGGAAGGGGCGAGGGACCAGCTCTGACAAGCACAGGTCACTCCACATCTGTGTTTCTCTTGTATAGGAGACGCTGACGGACATGCGGGAAGGCATGCCACTGGGGGTCCACCTGCCGTTTGTGGGCTACTCCTACTCCTGCATGGCCCTCAGGTAGGCAGTGCCCCTGGGCGGCCTGTGAGGAGTGGACAAGTGGTGCCAGCCTCCAGAGGTCCCAGGACGCTGTCCAGGGGCACCCAGTAGAATTGCAGGATCAATCTTGGAACTTTCCCGCCTTGGCACCGCGGACTATTAGGAGTCCAGAGATGTAGGACCTTAAAATCTCAGACCATAAGTACTGTGAAGTTTTAGATTCAGTTGTAAAACCTCAGAGCCACAGACTCGGCCTTCCAGAATCTTCCAACCTTCCACTTTCAGATTTCTAGTATAGTCATGGGACCTCAGAATCTTAGAAAATAAGTTTAGAATTTCTAAATTGATCTTAAAAGAATACAAACTCGTTGAATCACTCATAACTATAAAGCCTTTTTTTTAAAGATTTATTTATTTATTTATTTATTTATTTGACAGAGAGACACAGCGAGAGAGGGAACACAAGCAGGGGAAGTGGGAGAGGGAGAAGCAGGCTTCCCGCGGAGCAGGGAGCCCGATGCGGGGCTCGATCCCAGGACCCTGGGATCATGACCTGAGCCGAAGGCTGACACTTAACGACTGAGCCACCCAGGCGCCCAAAGCCCCCTTTTTTTTTTTTTTTAAGATTTTATTTATTTATTTGTCAGAGAGAGAGAAAGAGCACGAGCAGGGGGAGCGGCAGAGGCAGAGGGAGAAGCAGGCTCTCCGTTGAGCAGGGAGCCCGATGCGGGACTCGATCCCAGGACCCTGGGATCATGACCTGAGCCGAACATAGATGCTTAACCAACTGAGCCACCCAGGTGCCCCACAAATGCCATTTCTTACCATGAATGAACAAAAGCATGAGCTATTGTGCAATATTCTCCTCACTGGGCAGGTCGGGACGCAATCAGTCCATCTCTGTTATAACCCAGCTGGATGAATAGCCTCAGCTCGGTCTCCGTGCTCACCGGGCTCATCAGGCCCTTGAGACCTGTTTCCACTAGAGGGAGCGTTGGGTTGGAGGCAACATCCACTTTTATTGCAATTTCATATTCCCCGGGAAAGTGTGACCTCTTCCCAGCAGCTGGGGATGGTGGGGGCAGGGGGCTGATGACCAGAAAAAGACCGTGTCTTTGGAGGTGGCTTAGAGTTGGGTGGGGTCCCCCCTCACTGTCCTGACGTCCAAAGGAGAGGGGTCTGCAAAGGTCACATGGAGAGGGAGATGAGCCGACCCCAGAGCATGGGTATCTGGAGCCCAGGATCTGCCAGAAGGTGCAGAGAGGCCGGCTCCCAGGGCCATGAGGCCATGCGAAGGGCAGGCCTTTACTAACAAGAAGGGGACCTGTCACACCAACCTGGCAAATCAGTTCCCCTCTCTCTCTCCCTTCCTCACACTAGGGGGTCTTCAGGGTCTGGCTCTCCCATGGCCACAGGAGAGGGAGTCCTGGCTCTAAATCCAGGGGCGGGGCAACATCTCGAGGGGGCCTAGCTCTCCCTCCCCTTGCCCTGTTCCTCTCCCCAGGGACGAGGAGGTCCCAGGCCCCACGGCCATGGAACTGGAGGCCGAGCCGTTGCCTGAGCCACCTGTGCAAGCACCCAGCCCCGAGGCCACGGTGACCCCACCGGAGGAAACGGTGAGTCTTTGGAGGAGAAGGTCAGTCAGGGACGAATGGGCGAGAAAGGCAAGGGCTTCCGGGGTGTTGCATGCTGTGGGGTGCTAAGCCCTCTGGGAGCGCACTTGACAGAAAGCAACAGAAAACACAGTAGAGACAAAGTTACTTCAGTCGGAGACGATCCCTATGAAGAAATTAAAACAGGCCATTGTGTGTGGGAGGAGGGGGACTCTGGGAAGGGGCAACCCGGAAGAGAAGGAGGAGGAGGGGGAGGACCATCCATGGGAGGAAAAGTACCCACTCGCTGGTCAGCGGACAGAACTTCAAGGCAAAGGTTTATTCTCGAACAGGAAAGGAGGGTGGCAAGGCTGACTTGTTCCAGGAGGAGGCTGGAGGAGGATGAGGGGAGGGGAGACAGGCCATCAGGAAACAAACCAAACAGGGCCTTCTGGTGAGGCAGGCGTTCCCCTGAGGGCGCTGAGGGCCGGGGAGAGAGGGGGCCACGGTCAAGTTGGGTTAGTTTTAGGAACAGCCCTTTGGTTCCCGTGTGTGGAAGGTGGGTGGGAAGGGCCCAGACCAGGGGCTGGGGTTAGTTAGGGAAGGAGGAGACCTGGGTCACTGCAGGAGCTGTGAGGATTCCCAGAGATCTAGAGGACAGTTGGGGGGGGGGGGTGTCTCAGCCTAGAACCTGTGCCCAGGTCTTGGGTGCCCCGCAGGAGCCACAGGCAGGCAGCCCTAAGCGCGTCCCGCCCGCAGGCTGAAACGGCGGTTCCGGAGGCCATTCCAGCCTCGGCGGAGGCCCAGGAGGCCCAGGTGACGCTGCGGGAGCTCCAGGAGGCCCTGGAGGAGGAGGTGCTTACACGGCAGAGCCTGAGCCGGGAGCTGGAGGCCATCCGCACGGCTAACCAGAGCTTTGCCAGGTCGGGGTCGGGGCGCCAGGGCCTCTCTACCGCCAGCAGCCTGTCTCGCTCGGGTCCGGGCGGGCTCACGGTCTTGTCTTTTTTTTTTTTTTTTCTCTCACGGTCTTTTCCTCCCCGCAGTCAGCTCCGTGAGGCCGAGGCCCGGAACCGAGAGCTGGAGGCGCATGTCCGGCAGCTGCAGGAGCGGATGGAGCTGCTGCAGGCCGGGGGAGACGCAGGCGAGTCCCTCAGACGTCCCCTTTCCCGAGGGCGACGGGGGGGTGGCGGGGAGGTGGGCCCCCGGCGTGTGTGGACACCTGGGGGAGGGCGAGGGGCCCAGGCTGGGGCACGCCGCGCCACCGCCCTCCTCCGTCCCTCCACGCGCCCTATGCCTCTCTCTTCTCCTTCCAGCTGTCACGGGGGTCCCCAGTCCCGGGGCCACGGATCCACCTTCCCATGTAAGACCCCTCTTTTTCCCCTGTATCAAGCCTGCTGGCCCTTCTGCAGACCCCGCCCCTGTCTCCCCGTCCAGATTTAGGGATCACCCTATCTCTTGGGGGTTCCAGACGGCAGACACCCTCCATGCAGCCCCCCCCCCCCACCAGATATCCCTCGGTTCAGGCCTCTAACCAGATCCCGTCTAGGATCTCCCTCGATTCCTTCCCCGACTCCCTCCGCTGTCTCTCGCCCCCTGCCGAGGGCGGCCGGGCCGGGCTGGGCTCCGATCGGGTCACCTGTCCCTTCTCTCTCCAGCTAGATGGCCCCCCGGCCGTGGCTCTGGGCCAATGCCCGCTGGTGGGGCCAGGCCCCATGCACCGCCGCCACCTGCTGCTCCCTGCCAGGGTACGTCCGGCTTCTCACGCCCGCCCGCCGCCGCCGCGCCCCCTCCTCGCTCCACGTACCCCAAGCCGCGTCTGCTTAGCTGCGCCTCTGTCGGGCCGGGCCCGCCGCGGGGAGGGAGGATGCCCGGGCAGCCAATCAGCACAGGCCGCTAGGAAGCAGCCAGTGGCGAGTTCCGACAAGACTTGAGGCTTGCCAGCGGACCAACCGCAGCTGCCCGCGGGGGCGGGGCGCAGTGCAGAGAGGCTTGTGGACCCACCTATGGGCGTAGGCGTGGCGAGTCTCAGGAGCCAATCGGTGGGCCGTGCCGCGGGGACCTGATCCCGCCCTCTTGTCCGCAGGTCCCTAAGCCTAACCTATCGGAGGCGCGTTCCCTGCTCCTGTTCGCCGTTGCTCTGGCTGCTGCCGCCGCCTTGGGCTGCACTGGGTTGGTGGCCTGCGCCGACCATCTCGCCCCGGTCTGGCGCCACCCAGGAGCCGCCTTCGCCCCCTGAACCCTAGAACCCCAAGCCGGAGGGTTGGGTGACCTGGGCACCGCCCAGAAGCCGCTCCCACCGCCTCCGCGTTCACACCGTTCCAAGCGTGGGTGTCCGCCCCAGCTCCAGCCCTGTGATCCGGGCCCGCCCCCTGGCGGCCGGGGAGGGAGGAGCCGGGCCCGCGGTCGGAGCACGGGGCTCCTGGAAGGCTTGTAACCGGGAATGCTGCAGCTGCTGTTGTGGGGGGGGCGGGGAGAGCGCAGACCACTTCCTTCCTGCGGCCTGGCTGAGGCCCCGACATGTATGGGCAAACTGCGATCTAGAGAAGGCAGCAGGGCCAGGGCTCGGCCATCAATTTTTCACCCTCCCCGCCTCCTCCCCCTCCGCCCCCGTCGGCTCGCAGACCACCAATCCTTGCGCATGAGGCCCTGCTATCCTGGGAACGTTCTCCTCCCGCGGCTAACGTCTAGTGCGAGCTCCGCCCGCTCTCTCGGGAACCTTGTGCTTTTGCCAGCCCCGCTTTTTCGGGGACTCCCGCACCCTCCTCACGTAAGCGGCTCTCGGAGCCACCGCAGGCTCCGCCCGCCTCGGCAGTTTGGGTATTTATTGACCTGTCCTCCGACCCGCTGACAGGCTCCAGGACCCCAGCGCCCTAACCCACGTTTTGGATGCACTGAGACCCCGACATTCCTCAGTATTTATTGTCTCTCCCCACCTAGGACCCCACCCCCGATCCTCGCGAATAAAAGGCCCTCCCGTCTTGCCCAAAGCTCTGAAGTCCCGGGTGTCCGCTCTCTTTGCGTTGCGAGAAGGAGCCTGCTCAGGGGGCCAATCGGAAGTCGAGTGGAGGCAGCCAATGGCCTGGCGGGAGGCTAGCGGGCCGCAGAGCTGACGAATCAGGGCTGGGGCTGGGGGTGGGGACGCTGAGGGGCGTGGCCTCGGCATCCGGCCAAGAGGAGATGGCTAGCGAGCCACCAGGAGGCACCGCCCCCTGTCCAGCTGTGGCCCAGCTGTGCCACCCGCTCCCCGGGAAGAAGGGGGCTGGGCCGGCTGCGCGCGCGGCCATCCTCCTACCACTGCGCCTGCGCGGGCCACGCGCCTCCGTTCCAGAGACTTGCTCAGGAAAAGTTGCTGCAAACTTTCTAACCCGTTTCCTCCGCCCCTTCTCCCTGCCAGACCCGCCCCCCTGCGGAGCCGGGAATTCCGAGGGGCGGAGCGCAGGCGGCGATGGGGGAGTGGGGGGGCCTTCGGAGGACTCTGGAGACGGAGGCGTGCAGAAGCTTAGTCTCGGGGCGGAGGTGGCTTCGCGCCCTTAGCCCTCCCGGACGGCCCGTTACCTTCTCCGTTGTCCCGATGGGGAAACTGAGGCCCTGAGCCTGAGGCACACGCGGGGGGAGGCAAAAAAGCGCGGCCTGAGGCGGAGGGAAAACAAAAGGAGAATCACGGACAGACGGGGAGGGGGGCGGGCACTCACACGGACACTGGGACCGAGACCCAAGTGGAGAGCCGGGCCTGGCATTGCTGGGGGAGACGCGGGGTCGGCGCGGGGGGAGAAGATCGGGCAGCGCGAAGAGGAGGGCGGAGAGGGGGGACGGGCGGGGGAGGGGGCTGGGGAAAGCCCGAGGGAGGAGGAGAAGGAGGGAGGAACTTCCCAAAGTTGCAAAACATGGCTACCTTGCCTGCGGAGCCGAGCGCGGGGCCGGCGGCTGGGGGGGAGGCGGTGGCGGCGGCGGCGGCGGCGGCGACCGAAGAAGAGGAGGAGGAAGCGCGCCAGCTCCTGCAGACTTTGCAGGCGGCCGAGGGTGAGGCAGCGGCCGCGGCCGGGGCCGGGGCGGGCGAAGCGGCGTCGGGAGCGGAGGGCCCGGGATCCCCGGGCGTCCCCGGGTCGCCCCCCGAGGCCGCTGCCGAGCCGCCCACGGGCCTCCGCTTCTCGCCCGAGCAGGTGGCGTGCGTTTGCGAGGCGCTGCTACAGGCGGGCCACGCCGGCCGCTTGAGCCGCTTCCTGGGCGCACTGCCCCCGGCCGAGCGCCTACGTGGCAGCGATCCGGTGCTGCGCGCTCGGGCCCTGGTGGCCTTCCAGCGGGGCGAGTACGCCGAGCTCTACCGGCTGCTCGAGAGCCGCCCTTTCCCCGCCGCCCACCACGCCTTTCTGCAGGACCTCTACCTGCGCGCGCGCTACCACGAGGCCGAGCGGGCCCGCGGCCGCGCGCTGGGCGCAGTGGACAAGTACCGTCTGCGCAAGAAGTTCCCGCTGCCCAAGACCATATGGGACGGCGAAGAGACCGTCTACTGCTTCAAGGAGCGCTCCCGCGCCGCGCTCAAGGCCTGCTATCGCGGCAACCGCTACCCAACGCCGGACGAGAAGCGCCGCCTGGCCACGCTCACCGGCCTCTCGCTCACGCAGGTCAGCAACTGGTTCAAGAACCGGCGACAGCGCGATCGGACCGGGGGCGGCGGCGGCGCGCCTTGCAAGAGGTGAGGGGACCCGGGCAGCGCAAGTGCCGCTTTCCCGGGGACGTGCCACCCACCAGCCACCCCCCCTCTCCCCCATGTTCACGGCTGGAGTCAGCGCGCCGAGCTCCGGGGACACCTCCTGCTCACGCCTTCAGGCGCCCCCCAGGGCGCAGGGAATACGTGTGGACGGAACAGGCACACGGCCCGGGCCCTCTCCCGGACCCCGCAGCTCCCGTCGCGGAGGCCGGGAGACCGCTTCCCCTCTGCTGCGCTCAGAGCTCCGTCCCAAATCCCATCCGTGTCCGTGGCTGGTGGGAGGCAATGAGGAAATGGGGGGTTGCGGAAAGGGGGACGGGGCCTTGTCCACCCACCGCGCGTGGGGGCATCTTTCACGTCCCGGGGCTGCCGGGCCCTTCCCTGACCGTGGCTCTTCCTCACCGCCGCCCCCCCCCACTCACCGCCCCCCTCGGGGCCCAAACAGCGTGGTCCGTCGTCTGTCTTTGTTGTGAAACGTGAACCTTCCCCAGCTCCGGTTTCCCTGTAACCCAAGCCCTTCCCCTCCCACCCTGCGCGCCGGTCTCTCACTCCCTTTTCTGACGCCGGCCTGGGGGGGGGGGGGGGGAGGCGGGGGAGGCACCGGGAACTGAGCGGGCGGCGGCGCTGCCTCCTCGCTCTCCTGGAAGACGCCGGGCAGAGCTGCCCGACCCAGGGGACCCCGGGGCAGCCCAGTACTCAGCCTCTGGGGTGCGGAGGCCAAGGGGCTGGGAGAGGAGGGCCTCCTCCCTCCGATGGGGCCTGCTTTAGTTTTTACGGAGAGGTATCAATGCTGGACTTGCAGAGGCTCCCTCTTGGGGGTCCTTGGGTGGTCTCAGGAGGAGGTTTTATAACCCGCCCCGTCCAGGCCTTCGGCTGCAGAAGTTTGGGCCCCGGCAAGGTGGGGAGGCAGCGGTCAGCCCCGCGCTCCGGCAGGGCAGCCAGTGGGGACGCAGGGCGTTTGGGACCACAACTCACAATCCTTTCTCTGACCAGCGAGTCTGACGGGAACCCCGCCACCGAGGACGAGTGCAGCCGCAGTCCCGAGGACCTGGACAGGGCGGTGGCCCCGGTGGCGGCGGAGGCCCCCGCCCAGGGCTCTATATTCCTCGCCGGGGCCGCCCCTGCTGCGCCCTGCGCTGCCTCCTCCTCCATCCTGGTGAATGGCAGCTTCCTGGCTGCGGGCAGCTCTCCCGCCGTGCTCCTCAACGGGAGCCCTGTCATCATCAACAGCCTGGCCCTCGGGGAGGCCTCCGGCCTGGGCCCCCTGCTGCTCACGGGTGGCAGTGGTCCTCCTGCACCGCAGCCCGGGCCCCAGGGGCCCAGCGAGGGCAAGACTTCCCTGGTCCTGGACCCTCAGACCGGGGAGGTCCGGCTAGAAGAGGCTCAGCCCGAGGCCGCCAAGACCAAGGAGGCCCAGGTGGCTGCTTCGGGGCCGGCGGGAGAGGAGGCTGCGGGGCCCCTGCCCCAGGTGGTGCCCGGTCCCCCACCGGCTGCCCCCTTCCCTCTGCCCCCGGGGCCAGTGCCCTCGGTGGCTGCTCCCCAGGTGGTGCCGCTTTCCCCGCCCCCTGGGTACCCTGCAGGCCTGGGCCCCGCGTCCCCGCTGTTGAACCTGCCGCAGGTGGTGCCCACCTCACAGGTGGTGACCCTGCCCCAGGCGGTGGGGCCGCTGCAGCTGTTAGCGGCCGGGCCAGGCAGCCCCGTGAAGGTGGCAGCCGCGGGCCCCGCCAACGTGCACCTGATAAACTCCGGGGTGGGCGTGACTGCCCTGCAGCTGCCTTCGGCCACCGCCCCAGGTACCTCCTGCCTTGCTGGGGCCTGAGTCGGGGGGGGGGGGTGGCACCGGCAGTGGGCTCTGGGGAGGTTGGGCAGCCCATCCCTGGCACGGCCCAGAACCCTCCAGAACCAGGCGGCGGCCTGAGGTTCAAGCCACACGGACGCAGGCCCCGCCTGAAAGGCGCTCGCTTTGCCTCCTGCGGATCTCCCTGCCTGCCCTGCCGAGCGTCATCTTCACCCCGGCGCCTGGCCCATGTCTCGTCCCCACAGGAAACTTTCTCCTGGCCAACCCCGTGTCGGGCAGCCCCATCGTGACAGGCGTGGCCGTGCAGCAGGGCAAGATCATCCTCACGGCCACCTTCCCCACCAGCATGCTGGTCTCCCAGGTCCTGCCGCCTGCCCCTGGCCTGGCCCTGCCCCTGAAGCCAGACCCGGCCATCTCCGTGCCTGAGGGAGCCCTCCCGGTGGCCCCCAGCCCTGCTCTTCCGGACGTCCACGCCCTGGGCCCGCTGTCTGCGCCACCGCCACCGCCCGTCCCCGTCCCCGCCGCTGCCGCTGCCAGCCTGCCCTTCTCCCCGGATTCCTCGGGTCTCCTACCCGGCTTCCCGGCGCCCCCGCCCGAAGGGCTCCTGCTGTCCCCCGCAGCCATGCCCGTCTGGCCCGCGGGCCTGGAACTGAGCGCGGGCCCTGAGGGGCTGCTGGAAGCAGAGAAGGGGCTGGGGACCCAGGCCCCCCACACCGTGCTGAGGCTGCCAGACCCCGACCCTGAGGGGCTGCTCCTGGGGTCCACGGCAGGAGGCGAGGTTGACGAGGGCCTGGAAGCCGAGCCCAAGGTTCTGACCCAGCTACAGTCGGTGCCTGTGGAAGACCCTCTGGAACTGTGACCGCCCTCCCGCACCGGGCCTCCTCACCTCTGCTGCCAATGGTGCTCAAGACCCGGGGCTTTGAGCCGAACGAGGGGCCGCCCAGACACGGTCGCTTTGAGCCGAAGATGCCACACACTACGTGCGCCGCCCCCCACCCGGGCCGTGGAACCTCTCCAAGCCCTGGAGGTGCCGGGGCGGGGGGTGGGGGGGGGGCTGGCCCCTGTCCACTCCCGCCCGGGGACACCGTCCTTGGGCTCGGCGGCGTCCTCTGTTACAGTCCTCTCCTTGCTCTGTGCCCCAAATATACGGGGAGGTTTGGGGGTCCTGACTCAGGGGCTATGTCCCCCCCGCAACCTGGTACTAGCTGTGAGCTGCAAGCCCTGCCACGTGGCTGGATTTCCGAGCCCCTGAGCCCGCCCCTGTCGCTCCCTAAAACACTAATAGGTCCACTGACATCCAGGGTTCTCAGAACCACTTGGAGTCGGAGGGTGGAGGACAGGCAGTCCTGTGCCCCAGACCCCCAGGACCGTTCCCCCCTCTCCCCCCGGGCTGGGCCCTCCCTGCTGAAAAGGGAGGCAGGTGCGGGGAGGCCTGGGTGAGGCTCCCCCTGGACTAGAGCCTTCTTTCTCACCTCTGGCCCCAGACCAAAGATCCCCTCACCCCTGGGGCAACCCTGACCCCTGTGTCTAGTTTGTATCATAAATTTTTATTTTTCTAGGACATGTTATGCCTCCATTTCAATTAAAATAAAGTTAACAGACAACTAGAACCTCCAGGGGTGTGGGCTACCTACTAAATTACTTGCCCAAAGGAAACACTGGACCATAAAAAAGCCCCACCCAAGATTCTGGCTTTCTGGCCACCGCTCCCTGACCGGGCGGGGGTGGGGGGGGTGGGGGTGGGCTGGAGGTCAGCTCTGTGCTGCCGCTTGGGAAGGTGTGGGTTCTCTCCAACCGCAGGCCCCCGGGCCCTCCAGATCCTGCAGGAGGAGCCCCCACCCAGGGCGGAGGAAGCAGGGGACCAAAGGAGCCTGCCTTGTCCTTGCTGGTAACAGGGGTTCCACTTTATTTTGTTGCGAACAATAAATAATCTATAAATAGAACAGGGGAGGGAGGCGTGGGGCGAGGTAAGAATGAACGCGGCTGAAACCACTGGACCCTGGGGTGGGCAGCGGAAGGGCAGAGTGGGCCCCTTCTCGGAAACTTCACCTTACTGCCTTTCACTCAGAGCTCCCCTCCTCCGGCCCTGCAGCGCCCCTGGAGGCACCCGAGCGAGGCAGGGGACGGCGGGCAGGCCGAGTTCAGGCAGCCCTAGCACCAGGCAAACGCACACAGCGTCAGGGGCCCTAAGTACGCCCCCTCCCAGCCTGCTCCAGGAGGGGCGAGGCCCAGGAGGGGCCGACCTCTTCACCGGCTCCCGGTTGCAAAGCAGAGGAGGAGGGGGCACAGCAGGGTTACCCTTTCAGTTGTGTTGAGGGGGCAGCAGAGGGCCCAGGTCTGAGGAACGGCGGGCCTTCTCGGCCAGCAGCTGGTAGAAGGGCTTGGGGGTCCCCCAGTGCTCGTCCTCGCTGCTCGAGCTGTCCTGCTTCACGATCCGGTTGTGCTGGAGGCTGAACCTGCGAGCTTTGATGCTGGGGGAGCAGGGGGCTGATCGGTGGTCGTGCCTTCTCTGTGTCACCAACCCCCGCCCCCAGAGCCCAGGCCTCCAGGTCCCCATCTGTACAGCGGGGCTGGGCCGCCGGAGCCCCACACTCCTGTGCGACCTGCTCCGAAGTGCACGCCTAGGGCTGTGTGTACAGGGGCCGATGGGGGGGGCAGGCGGCCGCTCTGGCCAGGTGGACAGGAGGACGGGAGGGAGGGAGGAGGGCTAGTAACAGGGAAATAAGGCCCGGCTTCCTGCTCTGAGAAACTCCCTGTGGCAGGAAGGGCAAAGGGGGTCCAAAGCCCGAATTGGGCTATTTGCCCGTCTAAGCTCCGAGGTCGAGCACCTCCTGATCTCCGTCACCCCCCAACGATCTCATAAGAGTTGGCAACACCCAAATCTTCCGCCCCAGTAATAAACTCCAACCTGTTTCCAATATCATGAAGCCCAAGGCTCTAAAAATCAGAGCAGGTGTCAGGGGCTCGGGAGGCCCCTCTGCTCCGCCTCCCCCCCCACCACGCCCCCGGGGCCCGGGCTTCTCACCAGTACGGTCTTCGCTCCTCCTGGGTCATCACCCGCCAGAGTTGGGCCAGCTCCTTGGTGGCAGCCGTGGATGCGGTCCCAGGACAGGCTCTGGGACAGGAGGGAAGAGGTGAGGAGAGGCCCACGGGGCAGGCTGTTCAGGGCGAAGGCCAACGGTCTGACCACAGGAGGCTCCCCTGTTAGAACTCGGATCTTTTCTACCCACTTTGGCCCGAAGGGCCTCAGGACACACCCTCTGGAGCTCAGGTGTCAAAGAAGGGAGGGGGACACCGAGTCTCGGGACCTGGAGGGGACCCGTATCTTCCTGTCAGGGCACCAGCTTTTCGCTGTGGATTGGGGGGCCTCCCCCCACCGACCCCCCGCCACCTTCAGGGCTGGGCGCCTGACCTATCAAGTCAGCCCCAAGAACTTTTGCGGGAAACATTAGAAACAAGGAGCTCTCCTCCCCCCGGGCCGCTGGACCTGAGCCTTGGGGGGACCCTCTACCAACCGCACCCCATGTGCTTGAGAACAAAGCCAACCCAGAAGAGCAGAGTGGAGAGAGGGACAAAACGCCCAGACGGCACCGCCTGAGCCCTGGGCCCAGCCACACCTGAAGGCCATCTGCCTCCTTCCGTCTTTCGGGCTATGTGAGCCACGTTCCTTTTTTCTTAAGTCTGAGTTAGGTTTCACTGCGTACAATTTGCAGGCCTTGACCAGCGCAAGGGGACCAGGTTAGATGCTGGGTGGGAGGTGGTGACTGAGGAAGGGTCAATGGATCATTGCCGGAAGGGGCAAATGTGTCAGACAGCAGGGGCAACATGCTCTGGGTGGTGGTGAGGGAGACAGTGCAGGCCGGGCCCCACCCGGGGGCCCAAAAGGACCCCCCCCACCCACCGGATGTACTGCTTCCGGTTCATCCTGCAGAACATGATGAAGCCATTGACACACTTTTTCTTCATCTGGGTCGGGCAGGGGGCTTTCTTGTTTTCCCTGGGCTTCGCCGGGCCCCAGCCCGCCTGGCCCTTCCTGGCCTTCCTCCCGGCCACGGGCAGGGTGGCGGCCTGCCGGGTGGGGGTCCACGTGTAGTCCCCATCCTCGTCACTGGAGGACAGCAGGCCCTCGGGGTCGGCCTGAACGTCCTGGGTGGGAGATGGGGAGGTGAGCACCGGCAGGAGACGGGGGAGCGACCTCGCCGATGGCTGTCCCCCCATCACATCCTGCCGCCTCCACACCGACTCAGTGTCTGAGTCCTCCGAGCTGGAGCTGGAGCTGGAGCTGGACGGTGCCTTGCTGTTCTCGCTCAGCGACAGGTAGCAGTGGTCCAGAGAGACAGAGGACTGGCACAGGCTGTGGGAGTCGGGGGGGTCTTCGGGAGTCTCCGAGGGCATCTCCTGGCGGGTGAAGGAGGAAGACGGGCGACGTGAGGGGAGACCACGGTGTCCCGTCATGTTGCCACTCACGGCTTTCCTAACGTCAGGGGAGCCATCAGAATCTGCTTGAATTTAAGACAACCTCATCCAAACAGCCCCTGGATGTCCAAGCAAGTGTTCCCAGGTTCCCACGGTGGGTCAGGGGGGCTGGCTGGGGTTCAGGGGCTTGCCTCCCCGGGCCCCCCCCCCCCCGGGTCTAGTAGCTCTTAAGGCCATCGGGTCGGCAGCCGTGACGCCCTGGGCAAGTGGTAACTTCTCTGAGCATCACGTTCACCTACAGAATGGAGGTCACGCCACATGCCCTGCAGGGCTGAGAAGCACCTAGCCCCGTGCCTGGAGCTTCCTAAGAGCTCTGCTAGGAGTGGCTATGTTTGTTTCTGCTGCAGGTTCAGCTCCTCGTTGGAGGAAAGAGTAGAGGTGGAGGCAGACTCATCTGGGGACCCGAGCTGGGGCTGCCCTTCCGTCAGCTGGGCGGTGAGACCCCAGAGAGGACTGTGGCCAGAGGTGAGCCCTGGGGCCTGGGAGGGAGGCTCTTTCCAACTGAGGATTCCTGAGCTCATTCTGCTGGTTTCAGTTTCCTTGTCTGTCGACTGGGGTCACCAGAGACCCTGCAGCTGTTAAAATTACGTGGGGTCTTTTCTGGGCACCTGGCAGCTTTTAGCTCTTGTCCTTGGGGTCTAGTTCATTCCAAATGCCCAGCACAGAGTGGGGCACCCGGTGGCCAGCAGTGAGTGCTCGAAGGATGGGCAGATGAGGACACAGACGGTAGACGAGTCTCTGGAAGGACGGGGAGAAGAGCGAGCAGATGGACAGTGAGCAGTTGGGGGGAGGCGGCTGCCCGGTCGCGGGCATGGGTGAGTCCGTGAAGCAGGAGAGCGATGCGTGTGGGAAGAAGGACGGTCGGCCGTGTCTGTGGACGGCTGCCTACCTTGTCCTGGAGCGCCTCAAGCACGTCATCAGAAGGTAAAGACTCGGGGTCTAGGAACACTTCTTTGAAGAGGGCTGTCGGGGAGGGAGAGCGGGCGGTGGCTGGAGCAGACCGCCCCGGTGCCCTTTTCCGGGTCTCTGCTTCAGGAATCTCCTGTCCTAGGACCAAACCCAGCTCATGGGCCAGCTCCCCTGGGGCAGCTCCAAGCTGAGCAGAGGGCGTGGGTCCCTGATGCTGGCTCCTGGAGCCTTCCCCTCCCTGGGCCGGTCCGGGGCTGCTTCCCCACAAAGCCGCAGGCTTCTTGAGTCAGAGCCTGGGTGGGATCCACCCCGGGGCACCCAGCACGGCCAAGCCCAGGGCGCCGCACCTGGTGGGTTACCGCCGTATGTTTGCTGAACGGACCAAGCGTCAGGTCTGGGCCCGGGAGCTCACCTTGGGTCAGGAACTCGGTGCCATCCCCCAGGATCTGATCTGGTGGCAGCCTTCCTGGGGAGCTGAAGAGGGAGGGGCTGAGCCCTAGGATCTCGCTCGGGTGGCCTGTCACACTCCACTTGTTAATCTGGGGAGGCCCCAAGGCCAGCGGGCTCCCTGAAAAGGAAGCATGGGGCTTGAGGATGACCTTCTCCCCCAGTGCGGTGGCTGGAGCTGAGAAGATGGTGTGAGACACGGGGGAAGGGTGATTCTGTCAAGTGCTCATTTTGAGTGCTTTGTAGAGGAAATTAAGAGACGCCATGCCTGGCATCAGGTCATGGGTGACCAAAAACAGAAGAATCAGTGTCTGGTGTGCCGCCTCTGATAGACTGACTGTAGCCACTTGGGGCTCTGGGTTAAGGAAGATTCTGAGGCAACGTCTGGGCTTCACAGAAAGAGGGATGATCGGCTAGCACCGTCTGCCACAGTGGCCGCACACAGCCCTGTGCTGGGCAGACCCCAAGTCCCCGTCCTCTTTTCTGCCACCCCAGTGCTGCTCAGAAGGAAGTGAGTGCGAAAGGCCCCACACAAGCCTACAAGGAGAGATGGAGTTTCAGTCACCAGGGGGGCTGCCCTCTGGGGTCCAGGCAGGAAGCCAAGGGTCAGCATCTGGGGACTCCTTGTCCAGCTCCTCGCTGGAATCGTAGAACACCAGCTTCTGCCTGCAAGAGGTGGGAATTCGAGAGGCAGACCCGGAGCCCTGGGCCCAGCCGTTTCCCCCTGGGGTGTCTTGGTGTCGCCCGCTGTGACGAAGGACAGGGGTCACTCTGTGCTGGCTGCTGGGGGCAGGGGGCAGGAAGCTTAGTCAGCTGAGGTGCCTGCCCTCAAGGGCCTTCAGACTGGCAAGGAGAGGTGGCCGTCCCCGCGTGCTGATGCCCAGGGCGCAGGGCTGTGACGGGCCGTGTTCCAGCAGGACTCAGAGGGAGGACCACGCTGAGCTCAGCCTAAAAGGGTGGTGGTCTTCTCGGTGGACGAGGGCAACAGGCTTGTCAGGAAGAGGGGTCAGGGAGGTGAAAAGTCCAGAGCGGGCCAAGGCCACGGCTCCCACGGAGTGGCGAATATGTGGTGGCGTTTCGGGTCAGGGTCATGGGGCTGGGGCAGGGGAGGGGGCTAGCAAGATGAGCTCTCAGATGCCGACTGAGATATTGGGGCTCTGCCCCCACGGGCACTGAGGGAGGCCTGAAAGCCATGAGCTGACGTGACCGAGGTCTGGGGTTAGAAAAGCCACTGTGGCCCCTGGGGAGGACGGGCTGGAGGGGTGAGGCGTGAGGCAGGGAGGCCAGCGAGCCTGGTCCAGCAGCCCTGAAGCAAGGCTCTGCTTTGAGCGTCCACCGCCCGCACGAAGCTAGGCCTGCGGTGTTCTCTCCACAGACACCAGCGAGGATAGCAAGCAACCTCATTTCTCACCACCCCTCAGCCGTGCCGGACCAGACACCTCAGCCTTCCCCACTTGGAGCCCTTGGGGTTCCCTTACCTGGGACAGGGCTCAGTCCTGTTGAGAAAGTGGATCCGCTCAGCCCCTTGCTGGGCCTTGAAGGCATGGTAGAGCCCATCACCCTGGCCACTGACTGGGCCATAGCAGCCTGGGGGGAGTGGGAGGCAAGCGGGGATGCTTACTCCTGGGACTGGAACAAATCCCAGGAGTCACAGATAGCCGGATGGAGAGGTGCCACGGTCTGCCATGGCCTCTCCCTCCCACATCCTCGTAAGACCTCAGGCTGCGGGGCCTCTGCATGAGCCTACGGGGTGACCCGAATGACCCCTCGGTTTCTGGAAACCCACATCCCTCTCAGAAGGTGTAAGAGAACTAAAATCCTGAAGTGGAACACTGTTGAGGAAGACGATGAGAGCCAACACGTACGAGGCGCTCGCCCTGCTGGCATGGTTTGGGGCATTTTAATACGAGTCAGTGGCCCTTTGCCGGAGGGTACCATGATTATGCCCGTTTTACAGTTAAGCAAACTGAGACCCTGAGATACCAGGTAACTTGCCCGAGGTCACACAACTAATGGAAGAGCCGAAAAGCCCTCCCTCCCCAGGTGGGTCGGGTGCCTCCTCTGGGCCCCCATGGCCTCCTGGGCGACTGCGGGAAGTCGGGGTCACTCTGTGCTCCTTCACTGGACTGTGGCACCAGCAGTCGCATGCGGCCTGGCCCCGAGATGCTTGGGAAGCAGGGGCCGGATGAACGGATGGGGGGCAGGACGGCTCAGGACCTCCCCAGCCCACCAGGCGCCCCCGTCTCGCCCAGCGCCCTACCGGGCGCATCACCACACCTTTTCAAGGTGGCCCAGGGATGGGAGCCACAGGAGCCATTGCCTGTCTTCCCCCGGTTCTGGGACCCACAGCCCCGCGCAAGAGCCTCGCTGATGCCGCCCCACCCTTCCATCCACAACGGGGCCTAAATGGAAGAAGACATGGGGAAGGAGGCCCGAGACAGTGTCCCTCTTGTCCACCGCAGAGGGCCCGCTACTGGGCGCAGGCTTGGGACGCTGCGGGCGCCTGCCCAGGAGTGTGGAAGGGACTAAGTTAACAGTGAGGGCAGACAGCAACCTGAGAAGTCACAGTGGATGCTGTTCTCGGCCATGTCCAGCAACGTCAGCCGGGACCTGCCTCCCTTCCTGTCACCTTGAGGCAGGGATGACGCAACTTTGGGGTGACAGCCGGGGCTGGCACGTCTTGACGGGGTGGTGGTCCCCCCCATGTGTCTTCCTTGCTGCTCTGGGGATGGGGTCACCCACTCCCCGGGCTCGTCCAGGACCAGACAGCGGCGAGGGTTCTGGGCCCGGGTCTGGCGTTCTGGCGGAACAGAGGGACGAGCATCAGAGGGGTCTCCAGTGGAGGGCGTCTCTGCCCTGGGCCCCCCAGCCTATTCCAAGCTTTGCTGGGCCTGGTCGCTCACCAGGCCTTCCCAGGGCCTGGATCCTCAGCGAGCGGTCACCTCAGCCGAGGCTCCCTGCCCCTACCCCCACGTTCGAATCACCTTGCGAGCTCTGGAAAAAATACTGATGCCCAGGTTCCACCCCAGGCCACTGGAACCTGACTTTCTGGGTGTGAGGCTCAGGCATAGGCATTGTTTAAGTTCCCTGGATGATTCAGTAGATAGGCAGCCAAGATTAGAAATCATTGATTAGGTACAACTCCCATTTTAAAGAGAGGCCAACTGAGGCCTTCAGAGGCAAAGGGACACGTGGAGAGTTAGCAGCAAGGCTGAGGCTGGCCCGGGGATGCTTGCTTTCCACACTTGGGTCTTTCCATAAGCCGGTGCTCCCTGATGCCCTGGCCCGGGATGGGTGACTGGCTGTAAGGACAATAAATGGTAACAGCAGCTTCCCTTCACCGAGTGCTGACCATGAGCCTCTCCACTCAGCATTGCTCCAAGGGTATGTACCCAGGCTCCTGGTCCTTAAGACCACCCTGTGGTCCACCCCCAGGATGCTGAGGCTCAGAGAAGAAAAGCAACCATGCCAGGCATCGGAGGTAGTGAGCCCAGGGGCCAGGGCGTTGAACCAGACAGATCTCGCTGTAAAGCGGTGTCAGGGGCTCTGGGTAGCTGATCAGGCCTCCCCGGAGTGAGAAGGGCTCTGGAGAAGGAGCTTTGCTCCCATGTGACCTGGCTTCCTATCTGGTCTCCCTTGTACCTGACAATCCAGTGGGTTTCTTCTTCTGGGGTTTCCGGCAGGCTCCCTGAAGACGGGACTTGTGAGAGTGTGGGGAGCTCGAAGGGGTGGAGTGTCTCCGCCGTGCGGGGCCCGAGGCCCAGTTCCTTCCCAGACCTGCAAAGGGTGGAGAAAGAGTCAGGTCAGATGCCCCCCGAGCTCATGCCGTCCTGCCTCCAAGGAGGCAGGATGTGCTTCCCAATCCTGGGCAGAGGACTAGGGGGTGGCCACGGTCCCCAAGCTGACTTTATAGATGTGGAAACTGAGCTCCCAGGAGGAGCCTGGACTGGTCTGAGGTTGCACGGCCAGGCGACAGAGGTTCCAGGGTGTAAACTCAGATCCCCCCAAAGCCATTCGGGGTCCTCCAAGAAGGAAGACAGACTCAACGCTTCCCAAAGGCTTCCCTGCCTCTCTGTCAGGCCTCTCAATTCTTCCTCCTCAACATCACCCAAAGGTACGACTTCTGTCCCCAGCCTCACCCTCAGTGCGAGATCGGCCTGTCTCCTGTCCAGATCCCTTCTAAAGGCCTCTTCACTGACCTCCCTGACTCGAGTTTCTCCCTTAATAACCAACCAATCCTGCTCACTAGATGTCAGGCACCTCTTGCTTAAAAAAAAATCTGATCATGGCTTTCCCCGGCTTTTTAAAGTCCTCTGCCGTAATTCTCATCTTCATCTCTCTCCTTAGCCCGAGCCCCGCGCTGTGGAAAATCCACGTCTCATACTGGCCCTCCAAAAACGTAACTACTACTAGGCTACTGTTGACCAGAGTCCTTACCAATAACACAAACAGGTGATTAGCCTATATTTTGTATATCCTGTGTTGTATACTGTATTCTTACAGTAAAGAAAGCTAGACAAAAGTGTTAAAAGCATAAGGAAGAGAAAAGACATTTACAGGACGGTACAGGATATATCTAAGAAAATCTGCATATAACTGGGCCCATGCAGCTCAAACCCGTGTTCTTCAAGGGTCAGGTGTACTAGTATCAGTTTCATTTTGCAGATGAGCAAACTGAGGCACAGGGAGGTTAAGGTCATAAGACACGTGTCTGCGTCAGGGTCTGGTTCGCGAGCCTACGCACGTCGTCCTGATGCTACACGGTCCCTCCAAGCACACCAGCTGCTGGCCCGTCCCAGACATTCCAAACACGTCTTCCTGTGGTTGCGTGCTCCTGCTCACGGCTTCTGCCTGCCTGCCAGGGCTCCCCCAGGCTACTGTCCATGCAGGCCCGGTTGCGAGGCCCCAGACACCCTGCTCTGAGTTCACGGCATCAGACCCATCTCTCTGACTCTGTCAACTCTGCCAGGCTCTGAGATCCCCGGGGACTGGGGGCTCATCGAAGTCACTTGGTGTCCCTGACGGCCAGGACCGGACTTGATGGAGAGCAGGCCCTGGGAAATGGTGACTGAACTTACTTACCCCCGAGTTCACCTTCCCCATTGGTGGTGTGGAACTTGAGCAAGGCCTTGGCCACATTGATGCTTTTCTGGAGGTACTGAATGTAATGCAGGACATGCAGCAGAATCTCCTTCTGCCCCCAAAAGAAAGACAGGGTTGAGCACAGGAATGGGGGCCCAAGACAATGTGAGGCTGCAGGGGACCAGAGACAGGCTGCAGGAGCCCGTTCCCCAACCTGACAATTCCTCTGGTGGCAGAAATATTCCTATTCTGTTTAGACCTTGCTGCAGCTCAGGGAGAGGTCTGTTGCAGCTAAGGAAACCGAGGCTCGGAGTGCTAGCATGACTTGCTAAGGTTAGAGAGGAAATGGCACAGCCAAACTCAGGTCTGCCTGCCTCCTGGCCCAGTTTTGCAATGCACACTGTTTGGCTTCTCACCCCTGGCCCTTTGCACAGGCTGTATTCTCTACCTGCAAAGCCCTCCTCTTCTCCCCACAGGCTCCCGCATTGGCTTCTCCTCCTCTGAGCCTTAGCACAGTGGTCTCCCCTTCCAGAAGCTTTCCTGCCTCCCTGAACCCTCTCGCTCAGGCTGGGTTGGATGTCCCTCCTCAGCACTCTTGCAATGCCCTGGCCTAATTACCTGTTCATGAGTTATTCTCTCTCATTGACCTTGAACTAGTTGAGGGTAGAGGCTGTAGCTAAGTGATTTCTGCATCCTTCGCTCACAGAATCAAGAGGTAGCTTAGCCACTGATCACTGAAGGATGATCTCCATAGCACAGAGCATGATGCCTTCTGCCCAGCAGGCGTCACCCAGCCAGCCACCAAGTACTAAGTTGGTGTCAAAGACACAAAGCTAAAAAAGACTACTACCCACTGAGGGCCAGGTACATAGGGGTGAACCAGACATGCTTTTGTTTACCTTCATGGAATTTATAATCTAGTAAGGACAGCGGCCCTTAATAAACTCGTAAGTCATACAGAATTATCAACGGTGTGATAAGCATCATGGATAAGAGTGTAACGAGATTCTGAAATTGGACTTGAGTGTCTGGAAAGACCTCCAGCATTTATTATTTTTAAAGATTTATTTATTTATTTTAGAGATGGGGAAGGGGCAGAGGGAGAGAGAAAGAGAATCCAAGCAGACCCTCCGCTGAGCATGGAGCCCAACATTTGGCTCGATCCCAGGACCCTGAGATCACAACTTGAGCCAAGACCAAGAGTTGGACGCTTAACCGACTACGCCACCCAGGCGCCCCAGGCCTCCAGCATTTAAGTGGAGACCTGAAGAACGACAGGAGTTAGCCTGGTGAAGAGGTGAGGGAAGAACACCAGTAAGTATTTCTTGGATTGAACTGGGTCCCTAGAATACCAGTAAAACCATTAGCAGTAATCTTCCAAACCCTAGATCAGGAAACACAGTCTCACAAAGGGACTTGTGTGAAACCGTTCCATAAGCTAGAAAGCGACGGTCACTGAAATGATGTGACCTGATCCACGGGAGGAAGCTATAATCTAACTACGGACTACATGTGACACAGGCAGGAGACTGTTACTTTGGAAGGACCAGGATCCAATCTGCCACTTCCTGGCTGTGTATCGGGAACAGACCGTTTTACCTCTTTGAGCCTCAGTTTTCTTATCTGTGCAATGGGAATGAGGATATTCAGTAAGGCTCCGAGGATTATCATTAGGACTGAATAAATTAGTGTGTGTGAAATCGCCCAACGCAGAGCCTGATATACCAGTTGCCTAATAAATACTTCGTCGATGATTGAATGAGAATGCTTTCATCAGGTTCTGAAAGGATTAAATGAGGACCTTTTCTAACTTTGAAAACCGGACCATGGGGTTCTCAAGAGCAGATATTTTATCTCCAACCCCCGGCTTGGCACATGATTGGCACTCACTACGCTGTGTCTGTAAACTGTGTAAACTGTCAAGTTATATGAAATGGGATTAGTAGCAGTATAAAGGTTTTATGCAGAAGGCCACTGGGCATCATTTCAGATTCCAAGACCGAAGGTTCAGGAAAATTAGCTTGGGGGCTACGCCAGAGGTTCCAATCCCAGAGACCTTCTGAAGGCGAGATCGACAGGTCCTGTAACTGTCTTAGCTGAGGGGATTCATTCATTCACTCACTCATTCACCCATTCATTCATTCAACAAACACCTATTGAGTACTGAGTGACCAAGCGGTTGAGGATGTAGGCCTTTGGAATGAGACATATCTGACTCTTTTTCTCTGCCATCAACTAGCCATGTCTTTCTGGGCAACATGACCCCTCTCCTCACAGTGGAGAATGAGCACACCCAGATGCACCTCTCAAGCCTTGGGGGAGGATTAAATGAGAAAATGTATCCAAAATGCTTGTCACTCAGGGTCTGACACCTAGAACCCTCAGTAAATTGGGAGTAGCTGTGGTTGTTGTCTGCTGGCCCTGTGGGTGCTGGGGATAGAGTTGTTTCCATTATGGTCCTTAGCCCTCACAAAAGCCCTCATCTAAAGGGGTCAGAGGTAAAGAAACTGTCCCAGGAATATGCCCAGGGCTTTGATGGTCCGAGAGAGAAGCCACAGGACCATACGGGGCTGGGGGCACATCATGAGTCAGGATGGTGAGGAAGGATGCTGCGGACCTAAGCCGCACCCCAAATCTCAAATACAGGAAAGGCAACACGTAACAGCTCAGTTCATTCATTGAGCGTCAGACTGAGAGCGTCACACAGCCCTGTCACAAGTCATGGTGACACCCTTCGGGCAGACAGGTCGAGGGGGAGGCTGGGGACTGGCAGGGACGCAGGTTGTCCGCGGAGCAGGAGACTCAGGACTGAACCCAAGGAAGGATGAAGGTGGGGAGGAAGAGGGATCCTTAAGACATCAGAGGATCAATGGTCACGAAAGCAGGCTGAGGCCTGGGGAGAATTCCACAGGATGTGGTCATGCGGTCAGTGATGAAATGTTGCCTGTCGCCTGACTCGACTGTCATTCCTTCGGGGCCAGGACTGTCCCCCAGTCGTCTCTGCCCCCCCCACCTCTCAAGAGTTGATCACTTGAGTGTGCAGTGTATGCACACTGCATACACAGATGCTTGAGGACAGAGGGCAAAATTCCTCAGGTATTTCTGAGCACCATCGTGGTCTGCTTAATGCCTCTCCCCAAGGACGGCCATGCCCTAGTCCCCGGAGCCTGTGAATACGCTGCCGAATATGACAAAGGGGACTCGGCAGATGTGACTGAGTAGAGGATCCTGAGATGGGGAGATTGTTCTGGATTAACTGAGTGGGCCCACTGTGGTCCCAGGGGTCCTTACAAGTGGGAGGGAGGCAGGAAGGTTGAAGGCAGAGAAGGTGAGGTGTGGATGGGAGCAGAGGAAGAGAAAGAGATATACTGGGAGATGCTACGCTGCTGGCTTTGAAGGGGCCGTGAGCCAAAGAACACAGGCAGCTTCTAGAAGTTGGCAAAGGGAAAGGCAACAGATTCTCCCCGGGAGCCTCGGAGAAGAACTGACTCTGCTGACACCCTGACTTTAGACCCGTGAGGCCGATTTTGGACCTCTGCCCTCCACACTGTGCGAGAATAAATTTGCATTGTTTGAAGAAACAGAGTTGTGACGCTTTGCTAGAGTGGCCACAGGAAGCTAGGCTACAGTGCCAATGGCTGCGAGAGGCTTAGGAGGGAGAGTCAACAAAAAACGGTGATTGATGGAAGGTGGTAGGCATCCAGGAGGTGAGGGGTTAGGATCTGGCACCCAAAGATCTGGATCTTGCCCCAAACGCCCACACTTCTGAGCCTCTCGGAAGGCAAGAAGCACGTTCTAGCTGGGGACTGGTGGTTCCTGGGTTAGAATCTCTATCGTACTGACCACATTCTGAGTTCCCAGCGGATGAGGAGGGAGTCTCAAGTTCCTTTGCCCCCCCTCGTTGCAACCAGAACAGCTTCTGCCATCCAACAGTCTTTCCATAACTGGCTGATGAATGAGTGGATACGTGACGGAATGAGAGGAACTATAGCAAGAAAACGTCACACCATGCCTTCAAGATCTCTGAGTCCCTTAGTAAGTTGTCCCCACTGGCGGAGCGAGGCGGCGGCTCAGGACTATATGTATTTATCGAGTAGCCACTTGGGGGACGCGCAGAGCAGCTTTAACTCTTGCTACCTCGGGAGATGGAGATGCCGCCCCCAGGACCCAGGACAAGGGACTCAGAGAGGGAAGTGACATTTCTTCGAGGACCGTCACGGCTAGTGTGTCGTTTGGGCCTCACAATATCTCTGGGTAGTAGACGTTATTTTCCCTCGTTTTATGGCTGGGAAACAGAATGCTTACGAGGCCGAGAGGCTGAGGGCCCTGCCCAGAGTCCTGCCGTTTCAGGGCTGACAAGCTCGAACCCGTGGCTGTTTGACTCCCCAGAGTGATGACTTTTACCTGGCTCCTTGCCGATCTTCCCCTCCCAGCTGCCCCTGCCCCTTTGCTAGAAAGGATCCCCCAGGCTTCTAGTGATGGGATCACAGAAAGGCCCACTCAGGGCAGGACCATGCCCATCTTGGTGCTGTCGCCAAAAGGGTCTGTGTCGGGGCCCCAGGACAAGGGACGGTAACCCGGTTACGGAGATTTTCAGACCTGCCCCCACATCCACCTTCTCCCCCTCCGTCCCCATACCTTGGTGAGCTTCTTGGTGCCTGTCTTCAGGGCCACAGGCAACAGCAGTGCCAACTCATGAAGTTTGCTGGTGTGGTCCTTCCTCTGCCTCCTGTTTGGGGCCAAGAGCTGGTATTGGTTAGGACGTTGGCACCTGACCCCCCCAAACCACCTGTTTCCGTGTTCCCCATCTCAGAGAGGCTTTCCACCCCAGGCCCCCCTAGGCATAGAATCCTAGGCATCGTAGGTCTCATCAAATCTCGCCCATTCCCCTTCCAATCCTTTCTCTCCAGCCTCAGACCCTGCCCTAGTACACGTGTGGCCGTCCCCCTAGCCCTCCCAGCCTCCCCCTGGCCTCCTCCAGTTCGTCCTGTCTACTGGCATCAGGGTAAGCTTTCTGCAACACAGATCTGGCCGTGGTTTTCTTTCTTTTTTTTTTTTTTTTAAAGATTTTATTTATTTATTTGACAGAGAGAAACACAGCGAGAGAGGGAACACGAGTAGGGGGAGAGGGAGAGGGAGAAGCAGGCCTCCCGCGGAGCAGGGAGCCCGATGCGGGGCTCTATCCCAGGACCCTGGGATCGCGACCTGAGCCGAAGGCAGACACTTAACGACTGAGCCACCCAGGTGCCCCTGGCCATGGTTTTCTTATCTGGGCAATGGGAATGAGGATATTCACTGAGGCTCAGAGGATTACCAGTAGGACCAAATACACCAGTGTGTGTGAAATCGTCCAGCACGGAGCCTGATACTCTAGTTGTCTAGTAAGTGCCTCAAACCTCTCGACGCCATCCATTAGTAAGGACCAAGTTGAAACCCTTAACCCGGCTTATAATGGCCCTCAAGACCTGGCCCGGCTGACCATTCTGGTCTCATCTCTTACAGGACAGGTGAGGTACCTCTGCTAAGGGCCCTCAGCCCCGTGCTCATGCATTTCTCTGAGCCCTGCTCTGAGCTGAGAGCTGGAGGGGAGGGGGCGGGGCACTGTATCTCTAGCATCCAGAACAGGGTCTGGCACACCGTGGGAACTCACTGCATATTTGCTAAATAAATAAATGAGGGCATGACAGAAGCTGACTCCTGAGCGGATGCAGAACTTCCAGGATCTAATCCCTGCATTCATAATTCATAATATAACTCTGCACACACACACTTCCACCTCTCTCTCGACTGATGGGGACACAAAGACATTGGAGTCTCTCTCCCAAATTACGTACTATTGCCAGACTCACACACAACTCCTTTGGGAATGCTCGGACACCCCCCTGTCTCCACCCAATCCTTGTCTTGCCTCCCCTCAGGGCTCAGTACAATGGCCACCTGCCCCAGGAAGCCTCTGGCGACCTCCCTTGCCTTCCTCCCCTGCTCTGAATGTCCACAACACTTTGTCACCTGCAGCCTGGCCACGCCCTCAAACACTCCCTTGATTACAGACGGGTGTTTAGTTCCTACTCAAACCTACACACTGACCCTGTGCTGGACACCACAGAAGGAGAGGGAAGACACTGTCACTGCTCTCGAGGAGATGGGGGAGCAGGGTGGGAGACGCACTTACCTCCCTAACCAAACCCTGAAGTCCTAAAAGAATCGTTCTCCCTCACTCATTCAGCAATTACTTATTGAGCACCTACGACGGGCCAGGAATGGTGTTAGGTGACAGGGATAAAAGTATAAAACCCAAAATACAGCCCCTTCTAGAGCCCACAGGACCATCAGGGATAAAGTCATTAATCAGATTGTCATGCACAAACAAGCATAAAATTCCAATTAGGACCAGAACCAGCTACCAGCTACCAGCTAACCAGAACCATATAACTTGCTGGGGAGGGGAGCCTTACAAATGAAAACGTGGGACCCCCTTTTTAAAACTTAAGGTTTTCAAGGTGGTGAGAGCAGGGCATTAAACCAAACGTCAGGCTCTTCTAAACACAGGGCTCTGTAACTGCATATGAGTTTGCACACCCAGGGAGTTGGCCCTGATGGGGACAGAGAAGGAGGCTGCTTGAAACAGGTGGCTTTGATCTAATCTACAACGTTTTCCCTGAGGAAGTAAACCTGGCCAGAACTGGTTCTGAGGGATGAGTGGAGATGTATAGGTGAAAAGGGAACAAGCACATTTCAGATAGAGGGCACATGCACAAAGGCCCTGTGGCACAAGGAAGCAGGGAGAACTCAAAGGAACCAAAGCTGCCCTATCTCGTGCACAGAAGGCAAGGAGTCTTGTGGGGTGAGACAAGGCTGGAGAAGAAGATAGGGGCCAGATGAGGCAGGGTCTCAAAGGCTCGTAGTACAGAAGAGTTTTGCCTTTATCTGAAGACCAACAGGAAGCCATAAAAGGGCTTCACGCAGGGGAGGATACCATTAGTGCACCCTCTCAAAACCGCTATGAATACAGAAGACATACATATTTGTCAGCTGAATGAAGGAATGAAAGAAAAAAAAAATCTCTGGTCTCTAGTTACCTCCTGCTAGAAACCATAATTTTGAGGGGCAAGGGCGTTGGGGTTCTATCTTTGGTGGAAAACTGGGTAGGCTGACCTCTAAAGTCCTGTCTAGCCCTGATACTTACTTTTTGCCTATCACTTTCCTTCTGTTCTAGAAGGACCTCCTGGAAGCCCCAGCGAGAAACAACATAGAAAGCAAGGAAGAAAAAAAGTGTCCAGGCCTATTTAAGTTCAAGGTGTGACCTGACCAAGGCTGAGAAAAAGAATTTCATATCAACTATAGTCCCTGGGTGTTTACTCTGGGTTTTGCAAAGCACTGAGAGCCTTCTGTGTGCAAACACAGAAGTTCCTGGGAAAAAATTTGGCGGGAGGAAAAGGGTAACAATGAGGCATCACAAAATCTTGACATCTCCTGGGCAGTGGTCCTGAATAGGTGTGACTTGGGGTGTGCTCCCAGGGGGCCTCTGCAAGCCGGGCACTTCCTCCCAAGGCTGCCCCTTTCCTTGCTGGATGGTTCTGGTTTCAGACAAGTTCTTTTCTGTAATTTTCACCCACTAATCCCAGCTCTGCCCTCAGGGTCTTCAGGGAACAGGCCAGCTCCAGCCACACAGGTCCTTTTTCCGTTTCTCTAAACTGCCAAGTTTCTTTCTGCCTTAGGGCCTTTCCTATTCCCTCCACCTGGAATGTTCTTTTGCCCTGATTGTTGTATGGCTGGTTTTACTTTGCCATTCAGCACGGAGCTTAAATGTGACTTCCTCAGAGAGACCTTTCCTGACCAACCAATCTAGCTAAGCACATTCTTGGTCACATCCCCTATCATTTATCAGAATCTTAAATCTTCTTTCTTTATTATCAACACCACAGGGCAGGGATTTTTGTCTATTTTATTAATGGTTATATCCTGGACTGACTTAACCATTAGGCCCAGTAAGCACAGTCTAAATCTGGTGCCACTTTTAAGGGCTCATGAAAATGTCTTAATTTCTTTTTCTTTTTTTAAAAAATATTTTAATTATTTATTCATGAGAGACAGAGGGAGAGAGAGAGGGAGAGAAGCAGAGGGAGAAGCAGGCTCCCAAGGAGCAGGGAGCCCGATGCGGGACTCGATCCCAGGACCCTGGGATCATGACCTGAGCCGAAGGCAGACACCCAACCATCTGAGCCACCCAGGCGCCCTTCTTTTTCTTTTTTAAGATTTTATTTTTAAGTCATCTCTACACCCAACATGGGGCTCGAACTCACAATCCAGAGATCAAGAGTCGCGTGCTCCACCACCTGAGCCAGCCAGGTGCCCTAAAAATGTTTTAATTTCTTTTAAATTCTATGCCAATGTTGTTGTAAACTATAATTTTAAATACATTTTTAATGGAGGAAGGGGCCTGGGCGCCTTGGTGACTCAGTCGGTTAAGTGTCTGACTTCAGCTCAGGTGATGATCTCTGGGTCCTGGGATTGAGCCCTGCTCAGGCTCCCTGCTCTGCCGGGAGCCTGCTTCTCCGTCTTCCTCTGCCCCTCCTCCCCACTTGTGCTCTGTCTCTCAAATAAATAAATAAAACCTTGAAAGAAAGAAAGCAAGCAAGCAAGCAAGCAAGCAAGCAAGCTTTTAAAAAAATGGAGAAACGGCCTGAGAAGACAAAATTGCCTAGGGCCCAAGCAAGTCATATGTGGCCCTAGTTATATTCCTAGCTCCTAGAATAATGACCAGCACTTAGTAAGTGTTCAACAAAAAATTGTTGACTTTATGAATGCTCCGGTCTTCTGATGGTCTCAGCCTTTGAAATGACAAATGACCTAATTCCTGGGTTTCCTCTTCCCTGAGCCAATCAGCCTAAACCCTCCCTAGTTCTTTTATTTTACAGGAGCTAGAAGCGCTGGTCCAAATTTCTCATATTAGATATAGGAAAACCAAGGCCCAGACCCTAATTTGCTTTAACATGTGCAGAGAATAAGAGCTACCCCAAAGTAGGACAAAGCAGGGGGCAATCTCAACAGGCAGCCTCATAGTTGGTTATAAGTTCCAGCTTTTGTTGTTTTTTTTTTTAAAGATTTTATTTATTTATTTGACAGAGAGAGAGACACAGCGAGAGAGGGAACACAAGCAGGCGGAGTGGGAGAGGGAGAAGCAGGCTTCCTGCGGAGCAGGGAGCCCGATGTGGGGCTTGATCCCAGGACTCTGGGATCATGACCTGAACTGAAGGCAGACGCTTAATGACTAAGCCACCCAGGCGCCCCAAGTTCCAGCTTTTGAATAGGACAGACCTAGATCGGAATCCCAGCTCTGCCATTTGCTGTGTGACTTTGGACACGTTTTCCTCTTTCTGACGCTGTTTTTAACTCAATGATAAAATGGAAGTGGCTAGAGAGTCTGATCTTGTCTGGAAAGATCTTGAGCATAACACCTGGCACATTGAGAGTGCTCACAAAATGTTATAGACAGAAGGTGGACAGTCATTTGTCAGAATTTTTTAGGGATAAGGGATGTTGAAGAATGGGGTGGAAGTATTGTATTGGCTAACTACCGTTGATAAAGCTGTTGCCTTTGGTTGACTGACATTTAACCCCCCTTGCCTGGTAATACTTTCCTTTGGGACTGCCCCTCTCCCCCACTCTGGGTCTGTGTGGTTCAGAGAGGTCTGCCCCAACCACCCCTTCCACTAGGAGCACAGAACTAAGGTCCAGCTAAGAAGAGTCACAGTGATTGGTTCAGGATTGGGGTCATAACCCAGGTTTGGCCAATCAGAATCAATGGCTCCCAGAAAGAGGCTCTCAGCTGGGGTTGTCAGGCTGGCAGGATGTGGCCCTGGAGCTGCTGGGAGCCATCTTGCCCTTACAAAGGGAGAGTCTGCTTGAGAAGGAAGCCAACACAGGGCAATAGCAGAGCCCAGAGAGGCAGGGTCCTGGCAACATCATTTAATCCTCACATGGAACCAGCCCACCCTGATGCCCCTGAATTTTTGACTTAAAGGACCCAATGAATCTCCTTTAATGCCTAAGCTGGTTTTAGCTAGGTTTCTGTTCATGGCAACTAAGAGTCTTTATTAATACAATGACCCCCCCACCCCACATCTATAAAGGGGGGAAAGACCGCCCCCCAACATTGTTGGTGACCTCTGGGATTCCAGGAGGAATGGGCAGTGGGACGGGCATTCTTCATTTTCTTCATGGTGCTCCTTCTGAGCACAGTGCCTAAGTAGAGAACCTGAACAAAGCAGATGCTTAATTTTGGAGTTAATAAATGAATGAAGAGATGGATGGACAGTAAGTCATTCGGGGAGACAGTGAAGATAAGATGAACTCTGGCTCCCTTTTCTTTATCCAGGCTGGAGGAGGGGAATCTGATACGACCCTCAATCTCCTGTGAACATCCCCTCTTAGGACATTCCTGACACTTGGTAGGTGCTTGATGGATCAATGTATACATGCATAAAAGAGGAAGGCAGGGCATTTACAAAACTCCTAATGTCAAAGCCAGCAGGGCCTCTGAGATGATCTTTGGCAACCACCTCAGAGTTCTCTCATCCTGAAAATAGCAATAATATTCGCACCTACTTCCTTGTGGAGGTGTAAGGATTAAAGGATATCATACAAACGAAAGGGCTTAGCAAAGAGTCTGACAAACAGGAAATGCTCAGTAAACATTATTGTTATTATTCAACCATAGTGGCCAAAGCTGGAACAGAGATAGACAGGGGAGAGCCCTTACCTGTCACTGGAACCCAGGGAACTGGCTCTGGGCCATCCAAGGGAACACAGGTGTCTGCTGGAACCCCACATCTGCAAAGAGGGAAAAAGAAAGAATTATTAAGTGACCTCTGGGATTCCAGGAGGAATGGACCACATGGTGGGCAACCTTCATTTTCTCCATGTTGTTCCTTTGAGCACTCAGAGATCCCAAGAGTCCCCGACCCCCCACAAATATGGGCCCAGGGACCAAATTCAAACCCCCAAACTCTAAACTGAAGTCCATGAATCCCAAGTTGTAAATTTGGGCCAAGTCGTGACCTACACCTAAAACTAAAAGCAGCAAATTCCCAAACTTTTAACTTCAGAGCTTTGGTCTTAATAGTGAGATATCAGACCACCAGGCCTGAAAACTGTGGTCTGAGATCTCTAAACTGCAATGTTAGGACACCAAAACTAGGATTTTAAACTCCCAAAGTGAGGATCTAAAACCCCAAAAGGTGCCCTCTCAAACCCTAAAACCCTAAACTCTAATACTGAGATACTCTAGACCCCCAAACTGTCCATTTCTAATCTCCAAAGACAACCCAATCCCAATCCCATTAAGATCACAGACCACAAACCTTAATAGAGAACCCAAACCCTAAAGTAAGAAACCCAAGCCCCCCCCCATAGCAAACAACAGTCTCCCAAATTGACCTCGGATCCAAAAATAAAGACCTCTAGACCCCCGAACTGTCACTTCGGACCTTCAAATTGTGACCCCAACCCTAAAGCTGAGATCTCACATGTGAGTCCCAAAATTGAAACCCCATACTCAACGTGGAGACTACAGGCCCTAAAATTTAATCCTCAAAATCCCAAACTGTGACTCCAGACCCTAAATCTCATACCTCATACTCTATACTGAGATTCTAGACCCTGAATCTATACTGAGGCTTCAAACCTCCCAAATCAGACCCCAGGCTCCCAAATGATACTCCAGAATTCAAAACTAAGACTTCCACATCCTAAAATTAGGATCTCCAGATTCCAACAGGAAAACTTCCAGTCACAAATCCAGCATCTTCAGATTCCAATACTAGTTACAGCCAGATACGAAGCCGGAGAGCCCAGACCCTAGCTTGTGACCCCAAAGCCCCAGCGCTATTCAAACAGAGCCTTCCCTGTCTCAAACTTGAGCCTGGATCCCAAAACCTAGGCCCAGCCTCAAACCCAAACTCCAGCTCTGCTGCCCCTGGCCTGCCTCACTCTGAGCACCTGGGCACGCCCGCCTTCCTGTCCCCCTGAAACTCCCGGATGGAGGCCACAACCACAGAGAGCTGCTCCTGAGCGGACCCCAGGCTCCCCTCAGGCAGGCTGTCCCCTGCCCCGTTCCCCGTCGGCCTCCAGCACCCGCCTCAGGACGTGCAAAATGGCGTGAGGCCCCCCCTTCTGGTTTCACGCCAGTCCCACACTCAGGAGCCTGATCAGACAGTGTCTCGCGCCTGTCCCGGGAGGCTGGCCGCGCGCGCGAGCCCCAGGCGGGCCCCGGCCACTGCATTCCCCACCCGGCCGTGGGGTGGGCGCGAATCCCCTTGGAACGAGGCTCCTGCGGGAGGCCTGTGGAAGGCAGCAAAAGTGAGCTCCTGAGGCCAGGCCACGCCCCCACCAGTTCCCGCCAAGGTGTGCTGGGCGCGAGACTGGAGAGGGGAAACGGCAGGGTGCAAGTGGCCGTGCGCAAGCGCGCCTGGGGAAGAGCCCTGGCTTCTAGCTCAGCACGAGCTTGGCCTCGCGCCTCCTGACAAAGCCTTTGCTGGAGCGCGCCAAAGTGCCGACCAATCAGCGCTGAGTCAGCGGCCCGCCTTTTCAGCCGGCCACGCCCCCGCCTGACCACGCCCCCGCCCCATCCGACTCCTGCTGACCAGGGCCTGAGGATCCTAATGAGGAGGCGGGGTCTCCCCAACTGCCATCTCTCAGGAAGAAAGAGATCTCGTCAGTCTCCTTTCTGGCCCCCTTTCCACCTTTCCCCTTCAGTTGAAATATCTTAATAAGGGCCTACCGTGTGTCAAGGATCATGCTGGAAGTTGGGAATTTCACCGTGGTCTTCCCAGTGCAATCGGGAAGGCTCACAGACCTTGAGAACCTAGTGAAGCAGGGGCTGCATTAAAGAGCCATAAATTGAGGAAAGATTCAAAGGGGAGGGCCAGTGGAACTGGCCCTTAGTAACAGTTCCCTTCACGAAGATGTACGTTCCTTTACAGAGCAAATGCTCTATTTTCCAAAGCTCTTTCTCATGGCCGATGAGGATAGACTGGGAAATACAGCTTAAGGGGAAGCGATCTAACGACCTAGTGGAGAGTAGAGGCCCTGATGTCCAACACACTTCAGTTCAAATCACTTTCTTGCTGAGCTGCCATGGAGAAGAGGTTTCATCTCTTTTTGCCTTAACTTTTACAAATTTGGGGTAATACTTGGGTTGTCTGCAGGGTGTCTGGCCTATGGTTAGTATGCAATAAATATTGCACAACACTTATTTACACTGTTCTGGGTGCTTGAATGAGATACACAAAGGTGCCTGTCCTCGTGAAGCTTCTAGGATGTTGAATAGTTCCGAGTTCATGGGGCCTTCTCCCTCCTAAGGCTTAATTTTCTCATTTGTAAATTAGAGGAGGTGATGGTAAGAAAATGGGGGGAAGAGATGGAAAAATGTTTGAGAAAGTTCAAGGCACTGTTAATTATTATGTTAATGAGCATACGGAAATCGATAAACTTGCTCCTTCCCAACTCTTCACCCCTCACAAACGTCTCTGCAATTTGCTCAATCTCTTTCCAAGGGCCCCGGGCCAAAATGGAGGAGACTGGACTCCATCTCCCAGCGCTCCCGGCGGGGGCACTCTCTGCGCCTGCGCTGCAAAGTACCCTCTCTGCCTCCTGGGAGTTAGAGTCGTTCTTGTCCTCAGCCCGCCCAGTTTGCTTCCTCTACCCACCTCCAAGGGTGGTCACGCTGCCTTCTGGGAGGTGTAGTCCGTGGCCGCTCGGACTCCAATTCCCAGCGGGCTTCGGGGCGGGAACCCGGAAGGGGAGGTTGGAGAGGAGCGAGTGGGGGAAACCCGCGTAGCCGAGAGAGCTGCGGCGCGGGGAGATGGTGAGAACCCCGAGTCGGGGCTGGGGGCTCTTGAAACCTGGGGCGGGGGTTCGGGACCAGGTGGCGAGAAGGAAGAAGCTGGGGCTAAAGAAGGGGCTGGACGACGAGAGATCGCTTTGGGGAGGGGTGCGGGAGGAATGGGAGCCGGAGGGAGTAGTAGAAGAATGGGGGCTGGGGAGGGGTCTTGTAGGTGGGGAAGGAGTCGAGCTTTGGGATTGATTGTAAGGGAGCTCAGAGCTGGGGAAGGGAGTCCCGAGTTGGAGAAGGGGCTGGGCGTCCCGGCAGAGGCCCTGAAGGGAGCAGTTTCGAGGCGGGTAGCCTGGGGGATGCGGAAAGGCATGGGGGTCAGAGCTAGATGAATGAGGGGGACTGTAGACTCCGAAGGAGAGACCAGCCGTGGATGCGGTGGGTTAGGGCCTCTAGATCAGATTGGGGGCAGGAGGGCAAGCTGAGGTGGTGGGAGAGAGAAATCAGTGGTAGAGTGGTGTGTTGGTGAGGGTGCCGTACTGGGGGTGGGGTGGGGAGCATGGCTTTAGGCGCCTGGATGCAACGATAGTTTGCCTAGACCAGCCAGAGACTCCCGAGAAACTGGACAGTCACAGAACTGTAGGAATCAGATGGCCAGAAGGGGCCCTAGAGAGAACCTTTTGCACTCTCATTTCTCCAGAGGGATCTCGAAAAGTGTGGTGCTTTCTGTGCTTTGGCAGTCCAGCATTCGGATCTCTTAATCTGTCACTCCTTTGTGACCTGGGCAAGTCTCCCCTCTCTGAAACTCGGTGCCCTTATCTGTGTTGTGGGAACAACTTGCCACTGAGAAGAGGGGAGACTCCTTAAGATTGTTACCCTCCCTTCCAATAATTCCTCGGTCTGGGGGCTGTTGGTGGGAAGTTCCCCACCCGAGGAATGTGACTGGGTCACAGGTGCTAATGGGTTCCCTTCTTATCAGTCCAACCTCAGAGGCGTTTTTCTCAAAATCTGGCACTGATCAGGGCACACCCCAGCTAAGAAGCAGGCAAGGGCTCTTACAGCTAACACTTACAGTTTAGGAAGTGCCTGGCCCTTTTCTTAACTCAACTCTTCGTGCATATTAACTCATTTAATTCTGACAACACCCCTAAAGTGTAGGTGGGGTTATCTCCATTCTACCCAAAGGAAGCAGAGGCACAGAGAACTTAAGCAACTTTCCCAAGGTCATCCAGCATTAAGCAGTAGACTCAGGATTCCAACCTAGGCATACTGGCTCAGAATGTGCTTTCACCACTGTGATTTCGCCCCCTCTCCTTGTACTGAAATAACAGTGTTATGAGTTAGGGCAGAGACTCCAGAACAGAAGCAGTCTTCAGTTCGAATTTTAGCCCTGCCATTCATTTGTCATGTGACCTTGGGCAAGTCTTTGCGTCTCTCCTTAACTATAAATTGGGATCAGTAACTTTAGGAAGAAGGTTAGAGAGTTCAGGGAGGTAAGCACGTAAAGTTCTTGGAGTAAGTGCTCAATGCACATGAGTTGTCATTTTTTGAACAGAGAGTGGGAAACAGACTTGAGAAAGAACGCAGAAGACAGGGACCAGTGAGGGAGACATCAGCCAGGCTGCCTCTTTTTCCTTCTCCCGCAGGCTGCCCCCATATCTGTCTCTTCTTGTTTCCCACCCTCTACACCCCTGGGCTTCCAAGTCCAAGGGTGACTCCCCGAAGGGGTGCTCAGAAGCTCAGTCTGTCCCCATTCCTGTCCCAATCCCTAGCCAGATATAAATAATTCATGTGCCAATGCCCAGCCTGGCCCAACTCCAGGTATTTTAGTGAATAGGAACTATTTCTGACCACTATGTTTTCTCCCTGCAGCCTTTTGGTTATTCCAGCCTCACTGGGCAGTTTGGCAACTTTGTAATTCATCTTGAAACAGTTTGGTTCATTTCTTGTGAGGCTTCCTGAGTTTATCACATAAATTCTCTGGCCCTGATAGGAAAGCTTGTGGCTAAAAGAACTGGCCTCAGATAGGCCCAGGTTCAGCTCTCTACTTCTGCTGCTGGGGTCCTTGGCCACGCTGTGTTCCCACTCTGGCCCTCAAGTTTCCTCGGGCAAAATGGGGCCACATTCCAGCCATGGGGCTCTTGTAAAGAGTTGATGAGGTAACATGTATAAAATGTGTAGTCCATATGAAGCTCTCAGTAAGTCTGAGGTCTCTGTGATTTTTATTCTTTTAAGAAAAAACCCTGGATCATGCGCTTTGGAACCAGAACACCCAGATTTGAATCCTGGCTCCATCACACACTAGCCGTGTGACTCTAGGCAAGTCACTCAACCCCTCTGGACCTCAGTTTCCTCTTCTGGAAAATGGGGGTTCATTCCTTGAGTGGGCCACAGTGTTGATAGAGCACCTGTTGTGTGCAGACTGACACCCTGCCCTTGGGGAGCTCGTTGTTGTCCCAACGTTGGTGGCACTCGGGCTCATTTTTCGGGTTTGGGTTTTTCTCTTCCTCATTCATTTGCGGCTCCTTATGCTGGCTTTGCCTGCTTGTCATTGCGTCATTAACGTCAGGGGTCTTTAACACTTTGTCTTCAGCTCTTGGTGAATCATCTGAAAACCTCTTGGTTTGGGGGAAAGTTGGCCAGCCTCTCACTCATCTCTGTGCCTGAATTTCACATCTGGGTCCCCCGAGGTCATGTGACACTTTTTTCCCCCTCTCCTTTATTTGTCTGTCTTAGAAAATGTGTCCGCTTTCCAAGTCATTTTGCCTTTTCTTAAAATCTTTAATGGGTTTTCAGCCTGTGCTTGTCCGAAGCTTATTCATACAACATGATATTTTTACCATTTCTAATGGGGTATTTCTAGCAGTTCTTGGCAATGCCGTATGATTCCTAAAACCACAAGTTTTCTGAAAGGCTTGGCTCGTCACCTGCTCCATGGTGCCATCCTGACCCCTCGATTAAGATCAGAGCCCCCACTTCCACTCCCAGTCCTCTTAACTTGCTATATTTGTTTCCCCATAGCACTTGCCACCTTAGAACTTACTCTATTTTTACTGTCCCTGTCTCCAATTAGTATGTCAGCCCCGCGAAGGCGAGGATCTCTGTCTCCTTCCCTCCACCCCCCCGTGCCCAGAACAGGCGCCTGGCATACAGTAGCTGCTCTGTAAATATCTGTTTAATAGTTGAGACCCAATATGCAACAGTAACAAAGGAATGACCATATTACTATCAGGAGGAGCCTGATAGTTTCCTTTCAGAATATGAAGTAAAGACGATGAAGTCTTTGGTTTAGTCAGTCATTTCCAGACTCCTAGGTACTGAGTCTCACCTTCCCTTAATAAGCCCAGAGCCGGAATATTGAGCCTCTCCTTAGTACCTAGCTGACACTGAGCGCTCTGCTGGGTTGATCTCCGTGGATCAGCAGGCAGCCCGTGGGTGGGTACTGTTATTATCTGCATTTTACAGTGGAGGAAACTGAGGCACCAAGGGTTAAGCACCCTAACCTACGGACACACCTCCAAAAGTGGGAAAGCTGGGGTGTCTGCAGGCCCTGCCTGGATTCTGTCTGCATCCCGGATCTCTAGATCCTGAGGCTTTGGATGATTCCTGCCGTCAGCGAGAGCTGTTGGAAAGGAAGGTTTGAGAGGGAGAGAGAGGGCGGCAGACCCTGAGACCAAAAAGCCAAGCGAGGTGATGAATCAAGATTGTGGACTGACTGGGGATGGGGGTGGGGGTCAAGAGGGTGGGGGGTAGAAGGATCTGGGCCAGGAACAGAGCCCTGGTACCCTGCCACCGGTTCCTGCGTGACCATGACCATGGGCCAGTGCATTACCTGAGCACCTGCTCCGTGCCCAGCCCTTGCTAGCATGACCCTGACTGTGGAATGGAGGCGCCTCAAGGTTGGGGGCAGGCCTCACGTGAGTCAGAGGGAGGAGAGCCAGGCATCCATTTTTTATTTCCTATCTTCTTTCTTTGCCTTATTCTGCTATAGTTGCCATTGTTTCCAACTTCTTTTTTTTTTTTTTTTAAGATTTATTAGAGAGAGAGAGAGCATGCGGGAGCTGGGGGGAGGGGCAGAGGGAGAGAAAGAATCCCAAGCAGGCTCGATCTCACCACCCTGAGATCCCGAGCCAAAATCAAGAGTCAGAAGCTCAACCGACTGAGCCACCCAGGCGCCCTTTGGTTCCAACTTCTTAGGGTGCACACTTAGCTTGTTCTCTCTTTTCTTTGTGCATTTGTGGAAACAGGTTCTCCCTAGACCTACTGCAAGCTGTGCTCCCAGGCTCTCCCTTTACCTTCATCTGGGGATGCCCTTTTGCCTCTCTTCTGGGCTAGACTTTTGTCTTTGATCTGATAGCTCCCTTTCTCTTTGTTCACCGCTTCATTTTGGTGAAGCAAATCCTCCAGTAGCTTCCTGAGAAGGGCTCCCGGACATGTATTTTTGTTTTTGCAAACTTGCGCCTCTCACAGAAAGGTTTTAAGCAGGGGAGTTGATACGGTCTGATTTATGTTTGGAGCAGTCTCCCCAGCTACCATGGAAAGGATGGAGCCGGAAGAGCTAAACTAGGCCAGTGAGCCAAGTGTGGAGGCTGGAGCAGCTGTGCCTTTGAGGAGAGGTCCCAGCCTTCCAGAAACCCACAGCGTGGAGGGGAGAGAGGCCCTCACCCAGGTCATTGTCACTCAGCAATGACAGGTGACAGGGGCAGCCAGAGGAGGACTCAGGAGGAAGAGATTCCAAATAGCTTGGGAGGTTGCTGGACTAGCTCCTGGAAGGAGTGCCAACCTACCTCCGTCCTGGGAGCAGGATTTCCACACGTGGACTTGGCTGGAACCAGCCGGCTTTTCCCAAGAGGTCCCCAGTAGCACATGTAAAGACGGACAGCGTGGCGGTGTTAGGAGTCTGTTCAAACAAACATGCGTTGCACACTTCTGATGGGTTAGGGCATTCCTTCTCAAATGCGCATACAGATCCCCTAGAGGGCTGTGGCAGTGTCCGTTCAGCACGAGAGACTTCATTCCTCACACACTGCCGGGGTTTCCTGTTCCAGGCAGCTAACTTACAGGAGCCAAGTGCCTGGTGCTGTTCTAAAAGCTGGAGATCCTGCAGGGAGGTGAAATAGGCAAAAATGCTGGTCCTGGGAGGGGAAACTGACAAGAAACTTTTATCAACAAAGTTTCTAGTATATTAGATAGGGATATGTGCTAAGGAAAAAAAATAAATCGGGAAGAGAAAGACCATTGTCTGTGGCTGTCAGTGAGGGGGACTGCTCCTGTTTGAGGACAGAGTAAGATGATCTGCACAAAAGTGCCGCTCAGTGACTAAAGCTGCCGGCCACTTCAGGAACTCCTGCCACAAAGCTGGGTCTGAGGGCAATCGCTTCGCCATTCCGTGCCTCCACGTCCTTGAAATGAGGTTAAGAATAGCGAGATGATGTGACAATTGAGTGAGTTAATATTTGTGAAATGCCTCTAGCAAAGCCTGGCTCCCAACCATGATGCTCGGGTGTGAACTGCCTTTGTGATCAGTTTCTTTCTTAATATATTCATGCGGGTCATGATGGTTTATTTGGATGTCTGCCCCCTTTCTCATGAGCTCCTCCTGGTGAGCTCTGTCATCTTTGTGTGCCCGGCGACCATCTCCGATCCAGCAAGCAGGAAGACCTCAGAATGTCAGATAAGGGGTGTAAACTGGATTCTCAAATGGTTGGGGGCATCCCACCGAGTGTCGATCATGGGGTTCAGTTCCTTACTAATTTTATCTGTTCAACCCACCTCTTACGGAGAGATACATTGCAGTTTCCCATCACAGTTGTGGATTTGCCAAAGTGCTTGCCATTCTGTTGTTTTTTCCTTTATACGTTTTGAGGCCATCGTGTTAGCACACATGTTGAGAACTTTTGTGTATAATGGATCAGTTTGTTTCGTTACCATCTTTGTGCCTGCTAATACCTTTTGCTTTTGTCAGCTGTTACTTTTTTTTTTTTTTTTTTAAGATTTTATTTTGAGGGATACCTGGGTGGCTCAGTCAGTTAAGAGTGTGCCTTTGGCTCCAGTCATGATCCAGGGTCCTGGAATCGAGTCCCACTTCAGGCTCCTTGCTCAGCGGGGAGCCTGCTTCTCCCTCTGCCTCTGCCTCTCTCCCTGCTTGTGCGCTCTCTCTCTCTGACAAATGAGTAAATAAAATCTTTTTTAAGGGACGCCTGGGTGGCTCAGTCGGTTAAGCATCTACCTTCAGCTGAGGTCATGATCCCAGCATCCTGGGATCGAGCCCCACATCGGGCTCCTTGCCAGCAGGAAGCCTGCCACTCCCCCTACTTGTGCTTGCTCTCTCTCTCTGACAAATAAATAAAATCTTAAAAAAAAAAAAAAAAGTTTATTTTGAGTCATCTTCATACCCAACGTGGGGCTTGAACCCACAACCCCGAGGTCAAGAGTTGCATCCTCTACCAACTGAGCCAGCCAAGCACCCCCCCTTATTGTTTTTTTAAATGATGTTGTCTCTCTTCTATTTATCTTTTGGTTTGCATTTGCCTGGTCTTTTTTCCATGTTTAAAAAATTTTTCAGTCTTTCTGGGTCCTGATGTTTTACAATAAACGGATCTTCATGGAGCATTCTCTGAAAGCTGACCTAATGGAGGGCCTCGTGGAGGGCTTAGTGGGTGGGAAGTTAGAAAATTCTGCCCCAGTGACCTAGGACCCAGACAGAACCTGGGTGTGAAACAGAGTTTCACACCCAGGCCTCACAAAGTTTAGGACTTGTTGCTCCAGGGGAGGGAGCTTTGATCCATCCATTCGGTCCCATGCTGGGCAGTGTGGCTGGGGACACCATGATGACCCTGATTGTTCTGACCCTGCTGGGTCCACTGTCCCGTAGAGGAGACCAGATGCATCCCTAGAACAGTGATAACGAGTGGGCAGGGCTGGGACTTGGGAACCCAGAGGTCCTCCTCTGGGTAGGTGGCAGGTTTCCAAGAAGGAAGTTCCGGCAAGCCCTTTCTGTTAAAGTTACATTTGAGCAAAGATGCAAATGAAAGAAAGAACTGAGCCATGTGGAGATCTGGGGGGAAAGCATTCCAGTTAGTGGGAACAGCCAATGCAAAGACCACAGAAGGGAAGAGCTTGGTGACTCTAGAGGAATAAAAAGCCGGGAGGCCAATGTGGGTGGGAGCCCAGAGGTGGAGTCTGACCCAGCCTAGGGGTTTCAGCTTCTTGGAGGGAATGGCTGAGCTAGGACACCAGAGAATATATAGCAAAGCAATAATAGAGCACAGCAGTCCCGAATCAGATTCCTGGAGTCACATCCCTGCTCCAGCTCACACCAGTTCTGTGTGGACCACCTGTCCTGCTGGGTACCTGGGCTTTTTCCTAAGGGCAGTGGGGAGTCATGGTAGTTTTTGAACAGGGTAGGGATGGGGTCAGGTTTGTGCTATAAGAAGTCCCTTCTGGCCGAGACTTGCAGGATGGTTGGAAGCAGACAAGGCTGGGGCAGGGTGGTGGAGGGACAGGTGACCGCCTACAGTGGAGCCCCCTTTGGGTGTCTCCTGAATGGGCC